CAAAAAATTTATAGTAAACTATCATTAAATAGTAATAATAAAAAGTTTAAAGTTTTAGAATATAGCAAAAAAAAAAGTGCATTTATTTTATATATATCTTTATTATAATTATTAGAATTCTTTATATTATTTATATATTTAAAGAAAATTATAAAAACAAAAAAGAAAAATAGTATTCTAAAACTAAAAGTTTGTTTATATATTATATAAATTAAAGTATAATTTACTAAAGAAAAATTTCACCATAAAATTTTAAAAAATTAATATAACACATGTAAATTAAGATGAAATTTACTATTAAATTACTGAAATTTGGTATTTTAATAAAAATTTTTATAAATTAAAGTAAAATTTACTATTGGTAAATTAATTTTAAATTAATCAATAGTGAATATAAAATAATCTTTATATTAAAATTACTATTACTATTAATTTTGTTATTTTCATATATAGTTAAAAAATATTTAATATTCAGAAATTTATAATAAAAAAAAGGCAATTTCTATTTGAACACAAGGTGTTTGAACCCAGGTCATATGATTATTGCCATTTTGACTAATAGAGTAATAGTATAAACTTCAAAATTAATAGATAAATGGATTTTTTCCTACTCTACAAGTTTACCTAAGGTATTAAAAGTGCTTTTGAATGTCAGTTTTGATTTTACCTATGAATAATTGATTTTGCCAATCACTCTTAAAAAAATTTGGAAAATAATCAGCAAAGACAGTTTTTAATATATAAGTTAAAAACGGCATTCAAAACTCTCTTTGATATCTTAAGAAGTCAAAATACATATATTATATAGAAAAGTAAAAGGGTGTGACATTGGTGTCATTATATTTCATATGATCTGTATTCAAACATCTTGTGTAAACTTTGAAATTTTCTAAAAAAAAAGTAATAAATTAATAATATAAGAAAAAAATAATTTGTATATGAAAAATTAGATAAAGATTTTTACCATTCATTCTTAATTTTTTATAATTATTCTAAACTCTAAAAATTAAATTAAAGTTTATTAAAAATATAAAAATCAATACTAATTTTAATTAAAAAATATGCATATATACTTTATTTTTATTAATTCTTTTAATTTTTTTAATAATTCTATATTTATAATTTTACTGATGTATAATTTTATTATTTACAGTTTTCTGTAAGTTTTTAAAATTACCCTTATAATAAAGACAGGGTCTTTGGCTAAAAAACTTATTATATATATTATGTTTACCTGTTTATTATAATAGATCTTTTAACAGTACATACATAAGGTATTTAATAATATAATGATCAGTTTATAAATTAATAATATTAGTATAATTAAGTAGTTTATTAATTTTATTATATATTATTTTAATTGTTTTAATAAATTTATAAATATATTGCAATTAAAAAAAGATTATACTTGTAATTTCAATTTTTATAAATATTAAAATATGATTATTAGTATACATATTAGTTTGAACAAAAAATTAGATATTTGAAAATCTCTAACATTATAATTAACTATCAAAAAATAATCTGTAATAAAAGTAGAATTAAGATGTAAATTATGATATTTTGTAAAAGCTAAATAAAAAATTGAATAAGAAGCAAAAGGAGGTCAAAATATCTAAAATTAATAAAGGTAAAGAAATTATATCAATGTTAAGAAGGCTGCATTAAGTGTATATACTTAGAAGCAAAAATTATTATGTTTTTTTTGTAATAAATAAAAAGTAGTATTCTTTATAAGCCATTTTAAGCCATTCAAATCTTGCTTAAAAAGATCCAAGTTTTACAAACCTTATTAAATCTTATTGATTAATTAATTATAATCTTAGCTAATAGAATTTGATAAAGACTTGTAAAGTTTGTCTTTTTAAATAAAGTTTGTTTAGCTTAAAATGACTTATAAAAAGTACTAGTAAAAAGATTTCATTATTAATTTTATATCCTTTATTTTAATTTTTTTTTTTTTTACTTTGAATTTTTTATTCTACTTCTTTTTTTTTTCTCTTTATAAATTTTGTTTTATAGTATAATAAATCTTATAGAATACTCACTAGTGTGATTATCTTACTCTTTAAACTTAAATTTTCATTTAATAATATATATGTAAAGTTTCTGTCATAAAATAACAAGTAGAATTATTTGTAGTTTATTTAATTTGTAATTGCAAAATTGGACTGGCATTATAAATTTAGCCAGAGTTAAGAAAATTTAGGCCAGAAATATAATTTGAAAATTATTAATTTTAATCATTTGTATAACAATAATTAATTTTAAATTTTAGATACTTATATTATATACTTTAAATTGAATATACTGTAACAATAATTTGTATTGTAATATTATAATACAAAAAAATCCTGTATATTTTGTAATATTTTTGACTATTAGTTAATTATTTGTATCTAATACTAGTTTATAGCTTAACTAACTTAAATAATAAGAAAACTAATTAATTTCTTCTCATGTTACTTATTTCTTTAAATTTTTTACAAAAAAATATTTACTTGCTTCATTAAAATACTTGTTAAAGAAAAGGTAAATTTTTTTTTTATTTTCTTTTTTATAATTAATAATACATCTAAAGTCTTTTAAGTATAATTTATTTTTAACTAAAATGGTTTTTCTTTATTCAAAAATTTTACAAAGTTCCATTTCACTAACTTTTGTTTGAAAATAATCATAATACTTTGTAATTTAACATTATATTGCAAGATTATAAAACTTTTTTTTAAAGGATATAACATTATGTTAAGTAACTAATATCAATTTGTTGGATGTATATCAATTTGTTGGATGCAATAGTCACTATTTTGATGCTGATCATTTCTAAAAATGTATACTTACAAAATTTTAAATATATTTCTACAATCGGTAATAAATCCCTTTTACATTACAAATTATTATTTGTATCATCTAATTAAAGAAACAAGAGGTTTACTACTATTATTATTATTTATTCTTAATTAGAAATCATCGCTCAAAAAAAAAAAATAAATAAATAAAATAATTTATTCTCAATAAATAAAAGATTATTTAAATGTATTATGGATTTATAATAAAGTTAACAAATATGGATGTTATTATACACTGTGAAATTCGATATACCGGAACCTTGATATTAACGGAGTCTGGAACGGATTATCATAATCTATAATTAATATTACCCTCGATAGTCGATATAACGGATGGTTATATCGAATTTTATTGTGTATATATATTTGATTTTTTGAATTTTTATCATTACTAGTACAAGAAAATTTATTTTTATAAAAAAATTTTACAATATTACATGAAAGAAGGATGCATAATATAAAAAAGTTTCTCATCTCAACTTTCCAGATCAATTAAAATTAGTTTTTATTTTCCAACAAAAATCTTGATATTTATAATGTATATTTTAAAAAAGGCTTGTTAAAATATAAAAATCAACGTCGTCATTAGATTTATTACGGGAATGACACAACAACAAATCACAAATCATATAATATATTATCTTACATAATAATAGAAATTTCGGTCAAAGAACTCACTATTAGAAGTTATAAATCAGAATAATTAGGCTGAATTTTTTTCGTTGTTTAAATGTATCAGGAATGCCTGATCCCTGTTAGAAAAGGCTATAAATGTATCAGATATTAACTAAATTTCTAACCCTATAAATAAATCCAATAAAAGAAGGTATTTACTTACACATTACGATTAAAAAGGAATAAATTTAAATATTGTTTTTTTAAGAATAGTTTCAGATTTTGATTTTTTTCCTTTTTTTAACAGCGGTCTATTATATCTTATTTAGGGTTAAGCGTCAAACGTTAAAAGGGATGATCATAACATTGTACCTGACTGGTGGGTTCAGTTACCCTGACAGGAAAACAATATACTTTAATTAAACTCATGCAACCACCCTGAGTTAAGTATGACGTTGAAGCGAAGGTTATAATAAATGAAGCTTTATTAAGACTAAAAAAATTACAGCCGAATTTTCTGTTTTAGTTAATTTCGTTTCCTGATATATCGGGAAAGTAACACTATCGGAAATGAAAATTTAACTTTGAATTTCATATATGGAAAAGTGGCAGATATTACCTTTTAAAATCTCTCCCAAAAATTACATATATATTTATATTGTGAAATATTAAACCTTCCAATATCAATAGAGATGAGAGATGACTTCCAAAGTTACCTAAAATAAACTCAAAGAATATTAGTACCATTGCGCAAAAGTTAGAATTGTTTTTTACCGACTGTTACAACTTCGATTGTTTGTATATTTATTCGCACAACCTAAAACATTAATATAAACTAGTTTATATTATGTTTGGATTCACATAAAGAGAATGTTTACTGAGATAATTAAATAGAATTCTAGAAATTTTAACAATGAAATAATCCTTCTTTCCTCAAAAAAATGATTTTTTTTTTTTAAAAAAAAGTTTACTTAATAATAATAATAACAAAGCAAAAAATATAATAAGGAAATAACTCCTGCATATAATGATTTAATAATTTTTATTGAAGCAGCATTTAATGAATTATCATAAAAAAAAAAAACAAAATATCAAAATACAAATGATCACAGCAGATTAATTAAGTAACGAAATTTTGAACGAATGCTGTAAACCGTTATTGGTAATTTTGTAAAAATCAAATGTCGATCGCAATTTGAATTATATAAAATTATATAAAAGGTTAAAAAGTGACAACAGGGGCAAGTCGTAACAAACCTTTCCATATTTAGTTAGGAAAAAATTTTAATTCGTCTAAGTGTTTATTAAAAAAATTAATAACGGCTAATATAAACAAAATTTTTTGTGTAATATTGTTTTTTTTTTTTATTTAAATTGATCAAATATTTTTCGGATTCCTTCTTTTTATTGAAAAAAATTAGAATTAAGATTAGAAAAAGAGAAATAATTTTAAAAAAAATGGTTACTAAATATCCAATAAATGATATTCTTTCAATCACATCACAATCATCACAATCACAAAGAATAAGAAAATACGTTTACTCTTTAATAATATTTACTGTAATAATATTATACATATTCACTGATGAATTATCATCAATATTTACCGATATCATCCCATGTAACAAAGTTAATTCTGGAATTTGCTTAAAATCTAATGATATTAATAATATTGAAAATATAAATGAAACGAATACGGAAATAGATACTCCAATTTTAATAAAACCTGAACCTCTACCGGTAGAACCTGTAGATTCAGAAAGATTTTTTACCTATGTTCCACATTCTGGTTTACATAATCAAAGGATTGCTTTCGAAAATGCTATATATTTGGCTTGGTCTTTAAATCGTACGTTAATATTACCTCCATTATTATTAGGAAAACGTTTCGGTTATACGGATTATGATATAATGTTAAGTAGATTACTCCCATTAAAATCCGATAAATCAAATTTAGAACAAGATTGTGTTCTAGAAAAAAAAAATAAGCCAAGAAAATTTATTGAACATTGTATCGATTTTCATAATTCATATATGTTAACAACTTGGAATCAATTATTTGATCTATCATTCATTGAAAAACATGTTAGAATAATTTATAATCATCGAGTAAATATACCAAAATTAGTTCATGAACAATTAAAAATAGATGATGAAGAAAAAGATGTTTATTATGATAAACTTTATCCAGGTTATCATGCTTTCTTTGAATCTTCAATTCCATCTGAAAAAGTTGGACAAATCGCGGATGGAAGAATTCAAAAATATTATATTTTAAATCAATTTAAAAATAATTCACAAAAACTTTTAGTTTTTGCAAGTTTATTCGGTCCTGGTACTTTTGTAAGACAATCAGAGAAAAGTGAAGATTTTTTTCATGTAATACAAAAATCAATTCTTCCTAAAAATGAGATTATGTTAAATGTTGTAAAAAGAATTTCAGATAAAATGGGTGGAACTTTTAATTATTTATCATTTCATGGAAGAGCTGGTGATGGTCATTATAAACTTTTAGCAGATGAACGTATAGCGAATGTGATAAATAATCTTAGGAAAGATATGCCTGATTTTAACAAAATTAATATGAATCTTTACAATAATTTAACTGATTCAGAAAGACATGAATTATGTTTTAAGAACATTGAACTTTCTCCAAGAGCAAAAAAATTTTCTCGATTTACACGTATTTTTATTGCTAGTGATGTACCAAAATCTTCTCCTCCTTTACAAGTCATATTTCAAACATTTCCATGTGCTTACATGATGTCTGACTTTGAAGAGGAATTAGAACCTTTAAATCAAATAATTAATACTGTTGATAAACAAAATATGTATAAATTCATTTTACCTTTGGTAGATTTAATGGTTGGGTCGAACGCGAATAAACTTTATACGATGGGTAAAAGTACATTTGCAAGTTATATGAAAAGATATCATAATCATTTAGTAGATGAAAGTAAAAAACATTAGAAATTACATTTATTTTATTTTTATTTATTTTTATTTTTATTTATTTTTTATTTTTATTTTTATTTTTTTTTAATATTGTACAATAATAATGTGTGATTTTTTTCTATAAAATTAATAATTAATTAAATGCTTGCGTTGTTCAAAATTTATTTGGCATTTTTTTTTTTTTTTTTTTTTTTTTTTGTTATTCATGTTGTAACTCCACATTATTACGCTGCCGATACATAAATAAATGCAGGTGAATAATAAAACTCGATTCGAGGGACGGGATGCGGTGCATATCAGATATCCCGCATATCTTCATGTCAATAATATGTACATACGATTTTCTCGTGTCACTTTTAGCAAATATTATTGTCACAAATCATTTTCTTTTGATTTTATTAATTTTTAATTAATTTGTAATTGATAAAGGTTCCCATTATGTCAATCTCAATCCCGAACTCCGCCCGGATAAAAGTACTTGGGGACTTGTTATCTTTATACACTATCACTAAAAATTAAATGTAAAGATATTCCCGACGTGTTCAGTGACACAATTGAATTTCTCTTAATAATTTCCAAATTAGGGGGCCAAAAGTTTCTCTCGACCAGACTTCGAACGTTTAAATTGTTTTTGTGAATGGAATGAAATTCGGAAATTTGAATAAAAGGAACATTATGAAATTCAGGAAAGTTGAAGGAATCATACAACTCACTAATAATTACTTACCTGGAATTATTGCGGTAATGGTAAACTTAAAACGTTAGCATTTATTCATACTGAATAAAAGATGTTGTCTCAAAATAAGTCTATAACTACTCCAGAGTATCCCATCATTTAATAAATTCCTTTAAACTTATGTATTTAATCTATGTCATCAAATTCACCACTTAACTTTCTTATAATTGAATAGCAAACTGCATCCTTTGTTTGCTATTGTAAGTTTTTTACCGTGTTTTTTTATTTTTTTAATTAAAAATGTATCAAGTTTTCCGATAGTATATCAACAAGAGAAAGTTTCGTTGGTATTGCGGCAAACTTTATATTGTATTTTTTTTTTTATGATCATAATTAACTTCCTTTCGGTTAAGTTCTTTTGTGAAATATATTATTAGCATCGTTACTAATACTTATTAATAGTTTATGGATTTTTTTACTGACAACTTAATATTCAATGTGATGATGAATGATTTGTTAGATTTAACACAATTTGTTCAATCGTATCTGCTCTTTGGTCTGCTGTTCTGCTTGTTTATTAATAAACTACACTACGGAAATCTTAATTATCTTTATGTTAAAAATATAATAAAATATTTAATATAAAAAACCTTTTCTGTTATACTTTGAAATAACTTTGAAATCACATAAAGACATGATGCAATTTGACAGGTATTCTAAATAGGAGAATAGATCAACCCGTTTAAGAATGGGATAAAATCGGGATATTCTGATATTCTCCATACTCTATATTAATAATTTGCAAATATAAGACCAAATAATGAATTATATTATTTTTGTTCTATCATACAGTATCATTATTTATCGCAAGGCTTTATAGGATCATATTTTCATCAATATTTATTTGCGTACAATATTGAAATGAACTTTAGGTATCTGCGATATTCATTTTAAAATTCCATTAAATATCACATTAACTTATTTCTAAGTATATAAAAGGTGGTATTGTTGGAATTAATTTCTAGTAATAAGATTATTAATAAAATAGATCACATGTCTTAGTTTGTTCAGAAATTTTTTCATAGACCGGAATTATATTATACATTGAATTTAAATCTTGTAAAAAAGTTCCGTACTTCCCTTCGCTTCGCTTTGGCAGGTTATTATTTTGAACAATTGCAAATTTGTTCAGTATGTTCTTCAGCAAAAATTTCTTTTGGTATTTAAATACATATTGCCTAGGTTTCGCATTTCGCAAGAGAAGTATTCATCATTGAATAATAGGATGGTGAGTTACTGGAGTTCTTATTTAGATAGAAGAATACGAAGAAAGTTGAAGGATTTGCAGAATTTATGAAAGGGATTTATTTTCTTCTTTTTTTTTTTTGGCTCCTTTCTCTTGATTCATATTTTAGTTTGTTTTCGTTTTTATCTGTATAATTTTTGCATATCAGAGTAAATATAACAGATGTTTATAAAAAACCAAAAAAAATAAGATAAAAATATAAATTTTAAATCATCATATATAATCTCAATACTGATATCAAATTACCGAATTTTATTCATCAATCATCACGTCCATTACAAATGCTTCATATAATGTCATGTGATATAACTTGTAAAATTTTCAGTAAAATGATCATCTTTCGTTTTTTTTTTTCAGTTTCTCCAAAATTCTTTTCCAATCTCTTTAATTCTAAATTTCTATAAAGCAATAGTCTAAATAATATCATAATGTTTGTTTCAAGAATCATTACTCATCATGATAAGTGTTTCCCTCTTGAACAGTGCCATCCTGCATTCCATATAATATTTTTGTGGTTCTTTTTTTAAATAAACAAATAGCCACAAGGACGCGCCTTATCACGTCACATTCGTAAGCAGAAAATTCAACAAGAACTGAGAGTTCGCAAAAACCAAATTAACTTTTTAAATCGCGAGTTTACGGAATTTAAGTCCGATATGAATGACATGAACGAGAATATGGATAAGAGAGGGAACTATACGATATTGACGAGAGAATGAACGGGAATGAACGATATGGATAAGAGAATGAATGATACATATGACTATATGAGATGGATGAATGAGAGAATGAACGATTTGAATGGGAGAAATGAACAATATAAATTGGAGAATGAACGACATGAATGGTGAATATGCGAAATGAATAGAAATAAAGCTCTTGCCGGTTCACTCGTCCACTAAAAAGGAAGCTACAAGAAATGAAAAAGTTCGTCCTCGACATCATCGAGGGCAATCGAAGGAACGGAAAAGGGTCAGAAAAAGATGATAGTGAAACAGTCCCTAGGACTGCTTTCTTGATGTTTGAGACGATACTAGGAACAACTAGCCTTTGGATTTAAAGCTAAAACATAACAAGAAAAACCAATAAATTCGGACAATAATTCAGGACAGACTCAAAAACATGTTCGCAATTATATTGTGAAATGACATATTGTTGTATCTACTGTTCAGCCCTTTACATAGTTCGAAAAATTGGATCCATAAATTATTCTTGCGATGACATAACAAAACTTGCAGATGATGGCATTTAAAGAAAGGGTTGCTTCTGCGAATCAGGTCTAGAATAGTTTAAGCTAATGTTTCACAGGAATCGTCGATTATATTTTGGTTAACCCTTTCATTTTTTTTTTAGTTGTGGAAAAGAAATATAAAAAGAAATAAACGGGCATTACAATTAAATTCTTCTAGTACCGATGAAAGTACGGCTTGATGATGAAGATAGCTACACAACAAAGAAGCAAAACACTCAATTAATGTTATTTAAATGTGTCTTTTTTTAATAGTTTACATTTATAAACATTTATGAAGTAGTATTTTATCTTTAACAATCTGCACATTATGGTTGTGGGAAAAATAAACAACACCACATGCTATTAGATTTATCATACACAAAAACCAATAAAAAATTTATTAAGTTTATCTTCATCCAAATTTTATATCTTTTTTATATAAGCGCGTACGTGTTCGGTGTTGTACCGTAAGAGTATCACAAAAATTTGTGCGCTAAATTATCAATTCAAGCGATTGTTACTTGTTAGTTCTAAGTGATTATCGTAAAGTAAAGCTGAAATATCAATAAACGGAAGCTTTGGATAAGACATTACAACAATTAAGGTTATGAGAATAATTAATTTTATCGGTTGATGCTGTGCATTTACAATAAAACAACTTCTGAATTCGTAATCTAATAGTTATCACTGTTGATTCCTACTTAAGCAATCCAATATATGTATATGCAGTTTGTTATAAAATTTTTTATAAATATAAATATAAATAATAAATTAATAAAAATAAATATTATAAATTCATTTTACTTGGAATTACTCAATCTTTTATCCCTTTTCTTCTTCCAAGCGTCAATAACGACACCTTTAACTTTTTCTTCAACTTCCAACCAATTTTGCTTAGCCAGTCTAACCATTAAATCAATTTGATCAGGAGTGTAAGTAAAATTAGCAAAAGAAGCAAATTTAGCGGTACTAGGTACAAAAGTTTTATCAACTTTATCATTAGGTAAGTAAGGCAAATAACAGAATGTACTATGATAAACGGCAGGAGTCGTGTATCCATCAGACTTGCCATTTGGTACATAATCATAAACTTCACAGTATTTATTTTCCACATCACGTGCTACTTTTGTTATTCCTTTACGTGAAGTGAAAACTGATTGTTCTTGTTCAAAAAAATCATGATTGATAATTTGGCTTGAACAATCAAATCCTATGATTATATCCACTTCTCTACTTGGATGAACCAATGGGTATAATGGCAAATCGTTTGATGCACCGGCATCGATCAATTCTAGAATTTGGTTATTCACTAACCCAAGTTCATATGGTGGAGGATTTAAATGATATATATGATTATATACTTCCGCTGTCGGAACTAAATGGTGTCCTTCGAATTTCCATCTTCCTTCTTCTCCAAGATCTTCCATAGCCTGTAAATTTGAAAAAGAAGTAATTTAGCGTTAAGTATCTAAACGGAAGAATAAAGGAATTAATTCTTCTTGTGAGTCACACATACCCCTTCATATAATCTTTTCCATTCTGTCTTCAGCCAACCTTCAGGTAAGAAGTGCTCAAATTGTCGAACATCAATATAAATAGGAGCACTTGGTGCTGCACCCATTATTCTACGAAAAACAGGAAATAAGTATCGTAAATTTTTAATTGAAAATTATAATTCTTTCTCAACATACCCAATTAATTGGCATAAATTTATTTCTGGTAAACGATTAACATTCTTTCCGAATTCAAATTTACGACCCAAAGCCCACGTAGGTACCCATGCTAGAAAAAAACAAAGGATTTTACATTTTAAATTAAAGAAATTTAAGAAATTTAAACTAGATAGAATTTGTATGCGTGCTTACCAGCTTGTTCGTCACAACCTACTTCAAATGGGGTAAATTCATACCAAGCCATATGATCCTTCTTCTTACTATATTCAGTCCACACTTGCTCATAATTTTCCACAAATGCTGATGCCTTTTCATCCAACGAATCCTTCCAAGGTCGATTATGATGAATACTAAAAATTTAAATAATCTTAACGTTTTCCTCCAAAAAGATTTTAGAATTAAATAAAGTATTACTTACGCAGTATAAATAGGCATCATTTGTTTACCTCCCTCTATAAATCGTCTTTGTTGACTTAATTTAAAATCCAGACGTTGAGATTCCGGATCATGTCCAACTAAAATTCTAGCTCCCAATAAAGATCCATAAACATCAACCACATGTAAATCCAAACCTTCTGCTTTTTTTTCAACTAATCCACCAAATACCAATTCAACTGCCGTTTCAGGTGATGAATTATTTGATAAAGCTTTTAACAATCCTTTAGGGCTTGCTATATTATGTGTTAAATTTTCTTTAAAAAAATCCAATAAAGCCTGAACAGGATTTTCTTTTGTGGCGCATATTGAAGAATATTGAGTTGCTAAATTCCAACAACTTCCACTTAGGCCTAAGAAAAATTAGATAAAATAGTGATTAAAATTTCGTGTTTAATAATTATTTAATAATTCTTTATTTACTTACCACTAAAATAAATGCCACAATCGTATAATCCAGAATCTTGCAATGCTCTCACATAAGCTGTTATATATTTATCATTTTAGTAAATAATAACAATGGTTTATAATTATAAGAGAAATATTTTACCTGTGGTGGCAATCATAGCCCTAAATCCACCACCACTTCCAGCAAATGCGATCACGGGAATATCATCAACATGAATTTCTTCAATACCAACTCCAACATATTTAGCAAAAGCTTCTTTTATAAATTCTTTTCTTTCTTTCAAGAATTTTTTTTCATCCTCACATAATTCATTAGATTTTCTAACTTCAGCATCCCATTCAATTTCAGGATTAATTGACTTATCATTAGTCTTTTTTAATACATTCTCTCTTAAATTATCAAATGCATGAACAACTTTGCGATTATTTTGTAAACTCTCGGGAATAAATTCGTGAAATACTTGTTCGAATTTACTTTTAATTTGTGTATAAAATGTTGTACCGGATTCTGTTTTTTCAGTTGTTGTAGTAGTGGTTTCAGTCACTAATGTTTTATCCTTGGTTATACCATCATCTTCATCCTTTACAACTTTTGTGGTTTCCGTGGTTTTTGTCGTTTCTGTCGTTTGTACCTTGGCTACATCATCGTTCTCGGGTTTTTTTAGCCCTCTAGGATAAATTCAAACAAGAAATATTAAAATTATAATTACAATTCACTTGATGAGAAATTAAATATGATACACACCTTTCAATAGATTCATCCATGTTGCTTTAATTCATTTTATTATTGAGATGATGCAGCTTATTTATAGTTGATTCTTGGCAGAATATACTGTATACGTATACAGCTTATTTTGAGTACGTATTACAAGGGGTGTAATTTTAATTCCCTTATTTAGCTAAAAATATGATACTTTATATCCTCCTTAAAATACTACTACTATACAATAAAAACAATATTATAAAAAAAAGTTGATTAAAAAAAATGAAAAGATTATTCCATCTTTCTATGGTTAAATTAAAGTTTAAATCAGAACTATATCAGGCAGCTTCGTCATTTGTAGAACGTTACGGAATATGTCGCAATTCGTAATATAAGATCTACTATTTTGGTATATCTATGTAATCTAAGGCACATGTTGATGATCATATGATGATCATATCTTAAATAATAGCTTTAAATGAGAAAATATGACTTATATGTCTCTTAAGGATAAATATTGGCAAGAGATCGATATCCAAACAAGTACCACGAGGGTAAGATGAAGAGTACTTTGAATGAGAGCTAAATTCAGTGTTCTACTCCTAGAGCATAAATAAAATATGACAATCGGCCTACATATTTTTATATTTTGCGGGCCACAGTATATAACAAATGCTTTACTAATATATGAAGGCAAAAATGAAGTGCGGAGTAAAAAATCTAATTTTTCTAACGGACACGCATGTCACAAAGGTGTAGTCTGAACGTTAAACACAAAACATTTATCAGATAATTTATAATATATTTAGCAGTGATCATTAACGCATATAGAATATACAGTGGCCATGTGGGCAGATATACAAATGCTTACGTATAAGGAATACTAATTTTTCTGCTATATAAATTAAATAAATTAAATTCAAATTAAATATAATTTAAATATAATTTAACTAAACTGTTAGCTATTCTGGGAGTTTATTAAAGTAATTTGTTGGGGAAGGTATACGTCATCAACACCTTTACCAAATTGAACATTTTAACATTTTTATCCCTTTCTCTTCCCTTAGTCAGATCTGTATGGTGGAAATTCATATCCTGATCTCTATAATGAGAATGAAAGCATGGATATGAGTATCAAATCGAGGAACTACCCGTTATCGTTCTGATCCATTAACTTTCATTATCATCATAAAGATCGTCAAGATTATATTCTTTTCTTGCACCAATTATAATGTTTGCGTAACCATTGCTTTTGCTCTTTGAGCATAAATGCTAATGGTGGATCATTTATGTGACTGGCAACTTCGTGAAAGTCGAAAGATATACCCCTTTGGAATATCCATAGTAAGGAGTTTAAATCGATTGGCACTATGCAATATTCTAATGGTCCGTAATTTTCTAACGATTTGTTCATTATTCTCGCATTCTGTTGCAAGCTGTACTAGCATTTCTCTGAACATCTTACTCAGTTTCAAGCTGTCAGTAATATATATTTTCCTTCCCACTTCTTTCCCGCCCAAATTCTAATCTATCCCCATTCAGTCTAAGATCCATCTCTTTTCCTTCCAATCTTCTTACGATCTTCCTTACAATTTGTATCATCATCACTGCCGTTTTTTCTATCATTAGATATGTACTCATACCTTCCCCTTATCAGATCTATCTCTAAATTACGAAATACTGGGCCAATGATAGGACTCCATATATTGTGTTGGTACCCCCCTTCCAAACTTGATGATGAGTTCAATGTGAAATCGGCATTTCCCAATTTCTGCAAATGTTGGATTGTGGACGTGAACCGGTGTTTCACCACCTTCGATCGACAGAGCATGATTTTTCTCCCATTTTCTCACCTGTCTATGGTCTGGCCGATCACCTAAAAAGGAAGGGGCGAGATCAGTAATTAATTTAACCAACATCTTCTCGATTCCTCATCTATTCCTATCTCATCAGGTCAGCTTTTAGCCTTGAACGTTAAGCAACCTTCTACTCTGTGCCATTGTTAGGTCAGCTTTAGTCTTAAACGTCAGGCAACCTTCTAGATCCTGCCACGCCACCAAACCCTTTATTTTTAATTTAAAAAAAGCTCTAAGCTTGCCTCTTAGCTTGCCTCTTTATATCTGTGTAGTAGAATCTGTGCTCGTTCGCGTTTTTTAACTGTTTCATTATTAGCAATTACTTCGAGAAATTTAAGGTAAAGCCCTATTCTCTGATCAAAAGGTTCGCATTGTATTCGTTTAGGTAATCTAAAAGTGTAGACGCGCTATCGAAATATCATGAATCTTTTAAACATGAATAAAAAAAAGGCAGGTTATCGTGTTGTTCAGCAGAAAAGGGTCTGGTTCATTTTACCGACACTTATTTTACCAACACTTATTTTACCAACACTCATTTTACCAATACTCATTTTACCAACACTCATTTTTCCAATACTTACAGAGTTACAGTATTTATTACTATTTCACTAAAGAATTTTTTCATTAACGATATCCTATCTAATATCCTATCTAATATCCTATATATTATATCTACAAAAGAAATTTACATATCCAAAGATCTGAAGAACTAACTGGTCACCTAAAAAAAATGAAAGAAAAAAACGAAATGTAAGTAAAGTTTCGTTAAAAGATCTGTTAATTTCATGCTATCATGTCTATAATTAATATTTTTTAAAGTTTCAAAATTCATCCTATCCAACGAAGCCGATATCTACAAATAAAAGAAAAAAATGTTAAATTAATTTTTAAAAAAATTAAAGTTTTGTGAAACTTTGAAACTCACATATCTGATACTCTAGAATCAAAGCTGATATCTACAAATAAAAGAAAAAAAAACTAATAAATTTTTTAAAAAAATAAAGATTTAAAAAAAAATAAAAAAGGTTTGAAATGAAACTTCAAAACTCATCTATCCAAAATTAAAGAATCGAAGCTGACATCTACAAGTAAAAGAAAAAAAGTTAAAAAAAAATTGAAAAAAAGTTTCAAAATAAAACTTCAAAATCCAACTATCCAACATCTAATAATCTAAAACTGATATCTATAAAATAAAAGAAAAAATGTTAAATAAAATTTAAAAAGAAATTAGTTTTAAAACAAAACTTTGAAACACACCTCAAGAGTCTAAAACTGATATCTATAAAATAAAAGAAAAAAATATTAAAAAAAATTAGTTTCAAAATAAACCTTCAAAACTTACCTTAACATTCAAGAATCAAAGCTGATATCTACAAATAAAAAAAAAAAAAATTAAAGAAGTTCTAAAACATAACTTCAAAATTCACTTATCCAGCATTCAAGAATCAAAGCCAATATTTACAAATAAAAGAAAAATGTTAAATTAATTTTAAAAAAAATATTAAAGAAGAAAACTTCAAAATTCATCTATCTAACATTTAAGAATCTAAACCCAATATCTATAAAATAAAAGAAAAATGTTAAATTAATTTTAAAAAAATTAAAAAGTTTTAAAATGAAACTTTAAAATCCACCTATCTAACATTCAAAAATCTAAATCCAATATCTATAAAATAAAAGAATGTTAATTAATTTTTAAAAAAAATCAAAGAAATTTTGAAATGAAACTTTAAACTCACCTATTTAACATTTAAGAATTGAAACTAACATTTACAAATAAAAGAAAAAAATTTTTAAAAAAATAAAAAAGTTTTGCAAACTTCAAAATTTACCTATCTAATATGTCATGCAAAAGCCAAAACTGATATCTATAAAATAAAAAAAAAAAAGTTAGATTTTAAAAAAAATTAAATAAATTTTTTAAAAAATAAGAAGTTTTTCAAATTTCTTTAAAACTTACTTATTTAAAGTTCATGTTGAATCTGATACCTACAAAATAAAAGAAAAAAAAAGGTTAAATAATTTTTTTAAAAAAATAAAATTTTTAAAGTTCATCTATATATCTAAACCTAAAAATCAGAACTGATACCTAATATTTCAAATAAGTCAATGAGTTGAGTTAATCTGAGTTTAAATTAATACTTGACTTAATTCAGGTTGGCTTGATTAATAATATTCTATCATAAAAAGAAGAGAACATTTTTTAATTACATCCGATCTGCATATATTTACTTTTTATTTATCTCTATTCCAATTATTATCCTAAAAAAAAGACTATTTCTAAAGAAATAAGAATAAAATAATTAAAAACAATAATAAAATGAAAAAAAAAAAATATACCAATTTTCTGCACCTTTTATATTTTTAGTAGTTGCCAAAATTGCCATATCATGGCAAATTAATCTTTTTCTAAAATTTGCATGAAGTGAGTGGCTTAAAATTAAAAATAAAATTATGCAAAAATTTAATTTAACATGTAAGGATGTTGAATATCGAACAGCAATTGATTTATTAGATAATTTAATTTCTACTATATTTGATGTTTATGCAATTTTATTTAGGTTTAATTTATTTGAAAAATATGTAGAAACTGTGTTTTGCATTTAGACCTTTGCATTATGATAAAAAATAAAAAATTACAATAAAACTTCTTTTATATTCTTATCAAATCTATTCTATTGGTAAGATATCCATCATCTAGCTATTTGCTGATGCGATCGAAAAATATTTATTATGTTTTAATGATTATTATATTGAAAATACTTATAATTGAGAGTAAATATATTATCAAATGCAACCATTAAAAATATTATAAAACAGACTATGTTATTGGTAAATACCAATATGTAATAATTGTAAAATTCAAATTAACACATTTTTTTTGATTCAATATTTAAAGATACATATTGTAAAACTTATCATTATCCTTACAATTCAACTAAACTCAATTTTCTATCAATTAAAATAAGCCTTTCTGTTAAAATATTTTAATAATATATTTTGCAATCAAAATAATAATATTCTGATATATACAGCAATAGAAAAAAAAAAAACTAAAGAGGTATAAACTAGTTATCTTAAAAAAAGAAGTAGATTTACACTATTTATCAATAGCATACAGTACATCACATCTATCACAATTAAAATTATATGACTATTATAAACTTTAAATGAATGATGATAGTGTAATACTTGTCTATAGCTATAGTTATTATTCAGCTTATTATATTATTTAGCTTGCTATAATAAGAGGTATATTTATTGTGAAAATTTTTATAAAAGTAAAAATGAAATGATAAAATTATCAAAGATAAGGAAGAAGGGATGGAAGAGACAAAATGTGAATAAATTAACAATATAAATTACTGGTAATAGTAAATAATATAAAATAAATTGAAAATGTAATAAAATTTTTTCCTTATTAAATAACAATAATAATAATAAAGATATTGCTTTTTTTTAAAAATTAATAATCTCTATACATACAGTTACAACAGTTATATTATTATATAAATTATATATTATATAATAGGTTAAAATTCATGTTTAAAGTAACTTTTGCAAGAATAAAAATCAGTTTCTTATTATGTTAGAGTAGTATTAAAGAAACATTTTTGTAAATTTTATGCCAAATAGACACATTCTTTATGTGATCATTATAAATCATATAATAAATAGTTTGTGTAATAATAAATATCATAAAGGATATAAAAATTATGATCTTAATCCTTCTCATATTACTTCTTGACTTGATCAAAATATATATGATTATGTATGACAAAAATGTTTTTTTTTTTTTGACCTGCAAAAAAATATTAATGCATTGTTATTTTTCTTATTTTTATAATTTTTTAAGAGTTATATATACAAAAAGATTAATATTTAATATCAAAAAGAATAATATAATATTTATTTTTTATCATTAATGATTAATGATAAAATAATTTATTATTGTTTTTTTATTTTAATATTTAATTTTATATGGATTAACCCCTTATTTTTATCTTTTCCAAAAATTATGGGATATTATTTAATCTCTTTTTTATAACTTTTCTTTTATATCACTATTTTTCTTGAAAAATTCTAAATTTACAATTCTGATAGATTATTATAATTCATATACTTTATTGTATCACAAAATTTACTTTTTCTAAAAAAAATTTTAAATCTATACTTCACAATCTCTACAGACTGGAGAGATTTATATATATTAATTCTTGCTTATATAATTTTACTGCATCACAATTTACTTTATGATCAGGATATTCTGTCTTAATTCATATTAATTTTACTACAGTCAACCCTTATTATAACGAACCCTAGGTTCTAAACCTTAACTTCGCTATAGGGCTATAGTGAAGATTTTAAGAGATTTGATTGGTTAATTTGTTATAGCAAGGGAAAATTTATTATAGTTGTCTGAAAAATTCACTATATCAAGAGTTTGTTATATTAAGGTTTGACTGTATACGGTCTGCATTTTGCAATTAATTTCAGTTTACATGATGTAAAATCATTTTTTATTGAAACTTATAAAAAATATTTTTAATAGGATAAGAGTTTCCATTTTGCCAAAGAATTAAATTAATGGAATAGAATTCAGAAATCCAGGGTATAGTAATATTGGCCATAATCATTTGGGCGTGTGTCAGTTAAAAAGGGGAAAATCAACATTTTTATCATTTTGAGAAAAATGAAATTAATTTATTTGCAAAAAAAAACATTTTACTTTCGTGTGTCAGTTAAAGGGAAATTTGGTGGCTAAACTTTTATCCATATCATGTGACTTTACCTTCATCATTTACGTCATGCTATTGCTAAATAAGTCAATGATTGTTAAATAATCAAATGATCGTCCCTATAGCATATTTCAGTTATTTGATTTTATTTCAATAATTTATTATGCTTATCGGCATACAATATTAAGTGAAAATAGTGTACATTGATGGTTTACATTAAGGTTGCTTGCCGAAACCTTCTTAATAACTGCCGAAACCTATACGGAAAATGCCAAAACTATATTAAATCATATTAAAAATCCTGCTGAAACTTTGCCAAAATGCCGAAACCCTGCCGAAACTATAGTAAACATATAGTAAAATCTTGCCGAAATTTATCGCAGGATTTTGGAGAGGTTTTGGCAAGCAATCTTAGTTTACACAATATAAGCCAAAAACCTCAAATTTGGTTTTGAAGTAGATTTCCCATTTTTAATTGACGCATGCCCATTTATCATTCACTTTGACACATATTTTTACTTTTTTCAGAGTTGATATATATGCAAGCATCTGGTGATAATCTTTCTCTTAAGGTCATTTTTGGTACTCTGTACCCTTAAAAGGACTCCGGACATTACATATATAACTCATATTTGAGTTTTAGCAAATTCAATTAAAATTAGATTAAATTCATAATTTTAGATAGAGCAAATTGATTGAAAATTAATTAATAGTCATAATTATGAGTTTTAGCAAATTGTGTTAATTTTACAGTCATATTTTATATTTGAGCAAATTGGTACTTTTTTTAAAACTTTTTTTTTTAACTTTTATAGGTAATATTTTTAAAAATATAAGTTTCAGGGTTCAGGTTATATTTTGACTAAAATTAAATATAATTCTGGTCAAAATTAAGCATAATGCAGGCTAAAAACTGTCTGATTAGTTTCACAACATTTTATTTTTTAATAATTATTTATATTTAATTTATTATTTTTATTAATTATTATTTTTATCTATAATCTATATATTTTTAATTGTAAACTAGTTGTAACCTGTTGCTTCGCACCAGGATTTGACTGGAATTATATTATCGTCACTTTTTTTAACGTCACGTAATAAAACTGGCCAATAGAAGTAATGTTGCACAATTTGGAATTTATTTATACAGGTAATCTAAACGTTACAAATTTTTTTAATTATATAGATTATAAAAATTAACAGTTTAATTTATATTAATTATTTATTTTTTTATTGATAATAAAAAAAAAAGACTGTTAATTTTAGTAAATTAACAATTAAATTTACTAATTTACAAATAATTTGAATAAACTGAAATTATACTTTATTAAGCAAATTTAAACCTATATTATTTAGAATTTTACTATTACTCATATTTTGAGTTTTAGCAAATTAGTATAGATTTAAAATATGATAATTTGATTTTTAGTTCGTTCATAAAAGGTATGCCCTTGAATTTTATTAATTTTTGCCACAAGTTACTTTAGAGAATACCAGATATTCAAGAAATAACTGCAACAAAGTGCAGAACTAACTAATACAAAAACAAATAATCTTCCAAGAAATACATAAAAGGAAATGCTAAGATTATAAACCTAACACCTTCTCTATATAAATAACTATGGCTACTTCCCCAAGTTATATCTCAAATAAGGTAAAGTCGACTATGCCATACGTACCCAGCAAGACCCCTCTGCTACATTTAAAGATCAAAGAACCCTATTGCCAAATACTATTAGCACCATCAAAAACGCACAAAATTCAATTCCTCTATTTGACTACATATTATGAATAATAAACCTATTTCACAAAGACCTTAGGGAACTTTTTAGTGTCATGCAGTCCAGCCGCTAAGGGAACTTTTTAGTGTCATGCAATCCCAAAAGGGACACCTAGAGTTCCAAATGGGTCAGATCAGGTCAGGTTAATTGATAAACCTGACCTGAAATTTTTTTTCAGGTCAGGTCAGGTCAGGTTATATCAGATTATCTGTTTGACCTGACCTGAACTGATTTTCAGGATTTATATTAAAATATCAAAAAAAAAAATGGTGCAAAACATTTTTTTTGAAATATTGCGATTCAGTTTTTTATATTAAAATCGTATAAAAAGGTAAATCGCAATACTACAACTAACTTTTCAATATAAAAAAAGTGAATTCTGATACTGCAATTCACTTTTTATATATAAAATCAATATAAAAAAGTGAATTCTGATACCACAATTCACTTTTATTATATAAAATTGATATAAAAAATGAATTCTGATACTGCAATTCACTTTTATTATATAAAATCGATATAAAAAAGTGAATTCTGATACCACAATTTACTTTTTATATATAAAATCAATATAAAAAAGTGAATTCTAATATCACAACTCACTTTTATTATATAAAATCAATATAAAAAGTAAATTATAATACCATAACTCACTTATTATATAAAATCATAGTTTCAGGTCAACAGGTCATTCAGGTTATATTGATGTTACAATCTGAACTGATACTGAATTGCAATTGCTAAACCTGAACTGAAAAATTCAGGTTAACCTGTCAGGTTACCTGAATTTGGTAATCTGTTCGGAACTCTAGGGACACCCACCTCATTTTAAACAATCCTTAACAGAAAACATTCACCTTATTGCGAACGATCAATCAGCCTAAGATCTACCTAGATAAGTCAATCCAATAATAGTCTAATATGTGACTACCATGATCGGCATACTACAAAAACTGCAGTACTCAACCTGTCACCCCTTTTATCATCTATCTGATCATCGATTTTGAAATGTAACACCAAGCTACCATGACGATTAAATTTTCCAGTATCCCCCATTCCCCAAAGAAAATAAGTTATACTGAAAAAAAGCGACCAAGAAAAACAAAAAGCAAAAAATAAAAACATAAACCTTAGGAAAACTCAAAGTACAATGAGAAAAACTTGAGTAAAAAATACCAAACATACACCTCAACTCTGTCTCCTTATTTTAGAAGACTAACTCCCCCGTTAACAACATCAACTAGCAAGAAATACGTTAGTCAAGAGCTTCTTCCAAGAAATAATGATCCAGCCTGTGAACCATTTGGCCAATTAGACTTTAAAGGCGTAAGAATCAAGACGTACTACTTTTTAACTTTTTAGAAAGCCCAGGGGAACGTTTGTATGGAACTGCCATCTTATATTATTGTTGGTAACTCCAAGACTTATGATAATGGTCCTAACTCAATATAAGCCATAAGGAGTTCAAGCGAAACTAAAGACCTCAGTAATAACTTCATATAATATTGAAAAGTCCTTTTACTATTACTCAAGGCAAAAAATCATCATATTTTTCATCTATGTCTTCTTGGGAAAAAATGGGCAAAGCCTAATGGGAAAGAAAGTACAATGATCGGCCTTTTAATTTGATTTTTAGCAAATTAGATTTATTTTAGCAAAAGCAAAAAGTACTAAATTCATGCAGATCAGTTATGAGTTATATATGTGATGTCCAGAGTCCTTCCTTAAATGATGATTTGTTAGTTTGTCTTTTTGTTTAAGCCATTTCTATTGTTATTCAGATTGCAGATAACATTTACAAATATATCAGTTTTGTAAGTTAAAATATATATAAAATGAAAAATATACAACTAACTTTTGCAATTAAAACAGATGCCAATATTGTCAAAATTGAATCAAATTTTTTCAACTATATCTAATACTTCCATAAGGTTATTACAATAAAATTTGCAAATGTATCTTTTCAGATTGTTGAAATATATCAATAATAATATTATAAGACATATTATAAAATTAAATTATTGGTCAGCAATAAATATCTGATAGATTCTTGCAAAAATTTATTAACATATCTTTTAGCGTTTTGGGAAGTTTTAAGCCAATTTTCTTGAGGCATTTTGTTTTATATCTATCTATTTGTCTAATTTTTATCCACTTCTTTCATCCTAAATCCATTTTTGTTACTATTGTTTACAATTCTAAGTATCCAATCTCCTTTACATCCAATTTTCTGATATTCCTCTAGTTTTTTTTTAGCTTTTTTATTTTTATGCGTTGCTATCAACACATTTGTATTTTTCCTTTTTAATTGTAAAAAAAATCTAGTCAGACCAAAAAAAGCTACTTTTTAAAGGTAAAAAATTATCTGATAATAGCCATTACCTGTACATTTCTGAATATTCGGTCAAATATTATATTCCATAAATGGCAGTTATACCAGTTTTCTAGGTTTGTATTCTTGAGATTACTGTTTTTTATTTCTCTTATGATACTATACATGAAATAGAAATTGGTTAATTTTAACCTTTGAAATGGTCAAAATGATCAAAATAATTTTGATTTGGGTTTCTCCAAAAGTCAAAATGGTCAAAATTACGTTATAGTCATATGATTTTATAGTAAACAATAATATTAAAATTCAAAGTTAACAAACTCTGCATCCAATAATTTGATTTTTATGATCTTTAATTCTTTATATGATTGGATTCAATTCATTGAGAGGATTCTAATGATATGTATTTCATATTTGTAGCATCAATATTAATGGAGAGTACTTTTATAAACATTTATAGCTACTAAGACTATATAAATTTTTATTTTACTTTATATTTTATTAAAATATATTTACTTTTTAATAATATATGTTAAAAATTCCATATATATGAAAAATGGGTTTTTTATTAATGAAATAAGTTTTTTTACAGCTTTTTTACATTTAATAATTTAAGTTTCGCAAATGTAAATTTTTGCTCAACTTATTATTTAGTCAAGTGATCATTAATCAGATGATTTTTTGGTATTACAAAACAATTTTGAGTAACAAAAATTGTGAAATTCAATTCAATAACTCTTTTTAATGCAGAGTAAAAACAAATCAGCCTATATGAAAGCAAGATTTTTTTATCTTGAATTCTAAAGCATCTATCCATTTCATGAAAAACTTCTTCAAAAACTGATGAGTTCATCCATGCTTTAGGATTACCTTAATAATAGACAGGAAGACGTTCCAAATTAACCTTTGAAAGAAATCTTGGATGCTTTAAATTTCCAATTACCCACAACTTTAACTTGTCAGTTCCTGTCACATTAACGCTAAAAAGAACAGTAACTCAATTTTGTCCTTCTTTTAACCGGAAACTGACTTTGATGAAAGTGTTTCACTTGGTGACATATAGTAAAAAAGTCCTTAAGGAATAAAAAAAATTAATTTTTGTTCATAAAGTTCATTATACGCATTCCTAATTTCTAAATTATGCATTATGCATGTATTTAATTGGGATTATGCAGATGATCGATATATAAAATGTTCTGCTACATTCTGATTAATGTTTTTTTAACACTTTCCATTTAATTTTCAATAAAAAAAAAAGAGAAAACTTACCATTTCATCAATGTTGTAGATACAGTTAAGAGAATATCAACCTAATACTTCTTGTAACCTTGCTCACTCTTCTGAAAGAGATGCTAATAGTGCACTTCCTGATTTCCTGTGTATACAGTATTTATGAATATTATTACATTTTTTAAACTTATATAACCAGTCATTAGAAAAAGACAAATCTTCTTCTTAAATATTAAAAGCTTCGCCAAAGGTTCTTGCTTTTTCTTTTATTAATAAATCTGTTAATATTACACCACCAGCTGTTATGTTCTTCATCTATAGGCTCATTGCATGTTCAATATCCAGAAACATGACTTTTTTATGTCTAAATATTTGAACTGAATCTTCAGTATTTATTGCTTTTCACCTGTCATTTTGTGCCAGAATCTTTGAAATTGTACTCCTTTCAATATTCAAATTAGGACACTTTTCATTGAAGTGGTTTGCAATATTTTCATGTCTCTTGCTCTTATTTGCTGTCGACTACTCACATATCTGATGTTTAACATCATTACTTACAATTGTGCAGCATTGTTTTAGTTGGAATCTAATAGGAGACATAGTGAGAGTTTTTTGTGTCTTTATGTTAAGCAATGATCTATTGCTGCGAATTTATATGATTTAATATATTACAAATTGAATGATCAATTATGTTATAAAATCAAATTGATACACCAATAAAAACTATGTGATTACGAGAGGTTTATTGACTAATAAAAGTAATATATCATTTAAGAATTTTATGTGATAGTGATTATAGCTAATATGGAGGTAATTTAATAGTACCAAAATCCTATTTTACAAAAATGGGTGCTTATAAAGAAGTGTGACTACATAGGGTATGATTATACGAGAGTCAGACTGTATTAGAAATTTACATAAATCTTAGAAAAATATTAAAAATAGTTAAATACAGTATATATAGTTTCTAATAAAAAGTAAATTTTAATATTATTTTAAATATATTTAAATAATGGCTCAAATGACTGCTTTTAAGCCCAATTATAAGGATTTTGCTTATTATTAAGATATGTTACTGATAGAAATTTTACTTTTATATGAAACTTTACTTTAGAATTTGCTTAAATTCTGTTGGTTAATTAACCAAAAAGGAAAAAAATTATAATAATATAACATAAATTTTCTTTTATAGTAGAATCTTTAAAGAATTTTATATGTAAACTTTATTTTAGGCTATAGTGTGACTTATTTTAATAATATGAGGAGTTTTCAGTTAGACCAGTTTGAATTACAGTTGTTATTTAAGTACTATTCTTTAATTTTTAATATATTTAATTAATATTTATAATAATTCAATATTTAGTATCAAATTATTATTTATTTATTTTATTTTATTTCTGAGAGATAAGTAACTAATAACAAAAAACATAATAAAAGTAAACAATTACAAGTAGTGAAAAACTAATCTATTAGCGGTACTGTGGTTATTAATCTTGTTATTCTATTTAAAGATAAAAGACTTCGCTTTCTAAAAAAAGATTTAAAGCGTCCTTTAAAAATATCTTAGAGATCCTAAACTTACCTTTTAACCTCTTCCTATTTCTTAAGGATAATATGTTAGTTTGCCAAATACTACCACAATCTTCATATTACCATAAGGTTAGAGTCGACTGTAATATGTTCACAGTTCTATCAAATTAGTAGACTACCATATGGTGGTTGGTAATTTTACCTCTACCATTATAACCTCAAAGGGCTACCTGAATACTAAAATGCTATAGGACCTTTGGCAACAGTCTTCCATCACACTCTGATGAACTATGTAATAGAGTAATAGTTTCAACTTGAGTTAGTAACCATTTCTAGGACTTGCTATACCAGTCTACCAATGATCACATCTACTATTTATTAATGTCAATTTATTAATAGATTTTTTATTTTTAATTATATTTGCTATATATCATATAACTAGAATATAATATCCATTAGGTATAAATAGAATTTTTTTATTATACAGTCAAACTTCTATATACTAATATTATTATTTTTAGAAAAAAGCATCGGTATATCAAATTATTGGTTTATAAAAAAAATTTTATATGCCGATATTATTATAAATAACATAATTAATATTGGTATAAAATATTTTAATATATATAAACAACTTTAATCTACATTTATAAAATTTAAAAAATTTATTAATAAAATTGTATCAATTATGTATTACATTAGGGATTAAAATTGTATCAATTATATAATTACAATCAATATAATTACATCAAGAATTAGAAGTAGAAAAAATTGCATAACTTCATTTATGTAATCTAACCTTAAATAATTAATATATTGGTATATAAATCAGATCTATATATACGTTACTATATGAGGGATAAAGAAATAGTATTGAATAACGTTATATCGTAAAATCATATAAAACATTAATATAATAAAATTTTTTTATTAGTTGAAAAATGGGAAAATTAAAATTATCGGTATAAGTAAATATCGGTATATATTATATCGGTATATAAAGATCTGACTGTATATTAAATTTATAATGATTTTCATAGTAAAATTTCATATTATATATATATAATAATACAAATTTTTTATACAATATAACCTTTGTAATATTTAATAAAATTTATACAATTAAAAAATCACAGTTTTAAACTTTATTATTTAATTTTAAAAACTTTATTTTTTAAGAAACTTACTGAAAAAACTTTATATGAAATTATGTAATAAAAAAATATAAATATAAAAAAAATGTACAGATGATTTCTAAAATTAATAAATTAATTTAAGATTAATTTTATATTCACCAGTAGTTAATTAAAAAAAGAATATTGCTTACTTTTAAAATAACAATTAATATATTATTTAAAAGTTATTATCAATATTTTTTTTGTAGTAACTTTAACAATTTATTATATAAAAAAAAACACTAATATAATATATTATAAAAAAATAAAATAAATAAAAATAAAAAATGTATTATAAAGAAAAAGAAAAAAAAAAACAAACTATTATATCATAAATAAATTATAAAATAGATTATTACAAAATATTTAATTATTTTATAATTATTTTTCTGGGTAATGTTAAGTTAAATACTTTAATTATATAAGATTATTATTTTTTATTATTTATTATTTATTTATTTTAATTATCATTTAAATAAATTATAAAAAAATATAAAAATAATATCTATATTATTATTAAAAATAAATTAAAATAACTTATACATTAAGAAGAAATTCTATTAATATTTATGAAATAAGATGGTATTATCCATTGTTCATATCTAAGATAAGGTTCAATCATAGAAGGTAAACTAAAAAATAAGATTAAAAATAAAATAATTCTACCTTTAAAATCATTTTTAATTGAAATAAATTCCCAAATAATAAAAATTATACCATGAAATAAAAAGAAATTGAATTGTTCTAAAGTTAATTTGTTTGTTTCTGTCCATAATAAATATTCATGTAATATACCACTAATAAAAAATGCTCCTAAAACTCCCATCATTTTTATTAATTTCTTTTTGTTATTAGAAGAAAAAGAATGAGAAGTGATTAAATAATTATGTAAAGGAATATATCCTAATTCTTTCCAAATTTCATTATAAAATGTATTCCATCTATAACTCCAAAATTCTCTTGGAGATGTTGATAACCATGGTGAATTAAATATATATTGTGTATCAAATAAAAATGAGATACACCATCTTCTAATAGTAATTATTTTCCTTTTAAAAAAGGTGATATTGGTGTCAGATAGGAAAGGAAAAATAATATTTAAGAAAAGTAAAATGATTCCAGTAATTAAAAGAAATTGATCATAAGTTAAACTCATAATAAAATAAACAAGTACCATGTATAAAGAACAAAGTAATAATAATTTAATAGTAATAGGGGATTTACCACTTATAAACATATCAAATATTCTAAAAAAATAAGGAGAAGGCGGAATCTCATTTATATTTGAATACATATCTACTAATATAAAACAACCTTCATAAATTATCCATTTAATAAACATGAATACGATCCTTTCTAAAATATTTTTAATGATTAGTTTATTTGTAGGTTGAAAATCATCTTTTTTCCCGCTCGTAACATTTTTCCTCCAATAAAATAAAGTATATAAAAATGGTTGAAAATCAGAGACGGTTGTATTGTGAGTTATATTGACAAAATTTTTTAACCAAATACACATTTTAAATCCGAATGTTATAGCAAATGATGATACTCTTGAATGTACAATTGCTGAATATTTTCCTTTATATATTATAGGTTGAATTATAAAACAAATTATTATGATAATTAAAATAATTAAATGAAGAAGAGATCTTGGGGAATGAAATGATAATAATATAAATGAAATTAATAATAAATCGGACAAAAGTTTATAATTGTCAAATGACAATTCTGGTGGAAAATTATCTGCCATCTTTTAATTAGGATTTTGGAAGAAATTGGTTAAAATAAAAAATTGAATTAATGATATTTATATTAAAAAAAAATCGAACTGATAATTAAAAATTTTTTTTTCTTCTTTACTATTAAAGGGGATTTGTGTTATATTAGGAATTAAGAATGCATATTTAGTTAAAGGATAATTAGAATATGCATGAATTATTTATAGATATATTAAATTTGAGAAATCTTCTTTACTCTTTTGTGTTAACCTAAAAATAAACCATGGAAACATCAAATCCTCTAGTTCAAATTTTATTACGATTGACACAATGATATTTACAAAAAAGAACTTTCTTAAAAACCTCCATTATTTAAAAATGTGTAACATCATCGTATTTATATAATTCGTCATATTCGTCATGATTATAATAAATTGTCAATCAATTAAATAATATCAAATTTATTTGTTTTATTTCTATAACAATAAATTTCTCTGAAAAAACAATGATTTCTCACGCTAGGTATTGGAATTTTCTAATGGAACGAATTGGTTGAGAGGCTTTGTAAATAAACGCGAAGAAACGAAATTAGTGAAATCAAAAAGAATGGTTATTGATTAAATTATGGTATATTTGTATTTAATGGGTTATACTTATAGTGAATAAAATTTATTAGTAAAGGGATCGCTAGAAGTCGTTTAAGTGGAGGTGACCCTATTTATGAATCTGATCATGTCTTGGATTGTTGATCTTTCAAGAAATGAATCAAATTCGACTGCTGGTTCAGTTGAGAATGTTTGATATGTCAAGAAATTCACATCGAAATAAATTTATATAATAATCCGTTCTAGAAGGACGAGAAAAACTTCTAATAGCCTATTCAACCCATTTTAGGTTATTAATGTCAATTTTGAAATGACCCATAAAAATTTCTCAAAATTTACTAAGCTATTAGAAATTTATTCCAGAACCAACTCCGGTAACAATTTTCAGGAAATTGGTTCTGGAAGCTTTGGAAAAGTTCATCCGGTGATCCGGTTTATGTGTAGAGCAAGGATCTTAAAATATTCTTTTAAAGAATTGATTTATGGATTTATTTAAGTCGCGCTTTACTTATGAGAGGTTAAAATTTTACTCCCAAAAAATTATTTAATTGAATATTTTTATTTTTTTTTATTTTTGGCTTTAAAATTATTATGATCACGTAAATGAACACATGTGATACATTCTTATATTTAATTATATTAATAGAATTATTGTAATAATAAATTTACCAAATAAAAGCAGTAAATTTAATTTTATTATTTTAATGATATGAATTTCTTTCGCTTTAAACCTTCTAATAAGAATAGTAAAAAGTTTTTGACAAAAAAAAAAAAAAAAAAAATTTAACCCCTGTTATTTCTGGCCAGAAATCGATAAGCTTCTTCAGCAGCAGATTCTTTGGCATCCGCCTTTCTTGAACATGCTTTACCTCTAAACATATAATCCTGTACACTACATACACAGATAAATCCATTAATTCCATTTTCAAAATTAAACTCCGGTGGTGTCCAACGTTTTGATTGGGACATCTCATATAATAAACTTGTAAATTTTTTGCAAAATCCAGTATTCTTTTTTATGAATTGATTATTATTGTACGATGGATTTTGCGGAAATCTTTCCCTTCCAACTGTACGATAAGGATGATAAGAAATTGGTGATGATGCAGTTTGTAGCTGATCTCTTATATTACTTTCTTCTGGTTTGATGATTGGTATGTCCATACTTTGCGGGCTTAATGGATTTGATTCTTCAATTTTGATATTTGAAACTTCATGGCTATAATTAGGTAACACCAGGCTGGCAGTAATCTCATTCAGATGTGAACTATTATTGTTCGTATGTGGATTATTAACATTCAGGTAAGAACTATTCAAGTGTGAATGTGGACTAGTGATGTTCGTAGCAAATGAACTATCAACATTTGAGCGTGGGCTGTCCATAGTCAAATGTGAAGAATTATTGACGTTTGAATGTGGACCACCCATGCTCAAATGTGGATTAGTGTTCATATTAAAGTGCGAACTAGTGATACTTGATTGTGGATTATGTGGATTGGTGACACTTGAATAAGGATTATGTGCACTTGAATGTGGGTTATGTGGATTGGTGACACTTGAATGTGGGTTACTCAGACCCGAATGTAGATTATTGATGGCTGTATGCAGGCTACCCATATTCAAATGTGAATTGGTGACACCTGATTGCGGGTTATGTAGACCGGTGAGGCTTGAATTATTTAAATGAGGAGGAGGATTAGGAGAATAACCAAAATTCGAATAAGGATTAGTGACATTTAAATGTGAACTACCAACATTCAATTTAACATCAGAATGTGAACTATTCATAAGTGAATGAGGACTACTAATGTTTGAATGAGAACTACCAAGATTTGAATGAGGACTATTGAGATTTGAATGAGGACTAAGATTTGAAAGAGGACTACCAAGATTTGAAAGAGGACTACTAAGATTTGAATGAGGACTACCAAGATTTGAATGAGGACTAATATTTGAAAGAGGACTACCAAAATTTGAATGAGAACTATTAATATTTGAACTAGGACTTGATGTAATATGATTTTCAATAAAATTTAAAATTGATCTAGTATCAACTTGTCCCACATCATTCCTACGTTCTTTTTCACACATTTCTTTAAATAAAATTTCAAATGCGATATGAGCTACATAATCTTTTGCTTCACTTGATTTTACAAATGATTTATCACTTTTAAAACGTCTATCCCCTACACTACATTCATAATAAGTATGGCCATTATAATCATTGAGAGGTTGATATGAAGGAGTCGATAAACGATGCATTTGGCAAAATTCCAAAAGTATCACACGAGGTTGTTTTCCGGGGAACTCATTTAATTGTTTTCTATACCAACTTTCAGACTTTGAAATAATTTCGGTACGATTCTCAGGATAATTACTAAAAGAAGGTTCATAAAGTTTCATTATATCAGAACCTAAAACCCTTCTATTGCCATCAGATGAATTATTTTCATTCACGAGATTTCGTAAAGCCATTAAAGCAGCTTCTTCTTTTGCTTGTTGTTTTCTTAAAGTTGGACGTTCCGTCTTAAATACCTTACCAAAAACTTCAAGTTGACAATAAAAATTTCCAGTATTAGGATCGATAGTAAAAGAATATTTTGGTGGAATACTAGATCCTCTATTTCTTTGATGCATTTCATTCAGTATTGATATTGGATTTGGAAGACCAACTTGATTTGAATTTAAATTCTGATTTTGTTGTTGCTGTTGTTGTTGTATACTTTGACCAAAAATCTGTGAAGAATTATGTAATTGCTGTTGATTTTGTAAGTTTTGTATGTTTTGTATGTTTTGTGTATTTGGTAAATTTTGAGCGTTTTGTTGATTAATTCTTTGTAACAGAGATATAAAAGCTTCAGAGAAAGCATTTTGTTCCGATGATTGAACGGGATTATAATTGTTATAAGAAACAGGAATACCGGGAGGAGGATCGTTAATAGAAGAAAAAAGTGGCTCGGCCCCTAAATCTTTTAATAGAGCATCCACGGCCGAACGACTTGCGTGCATATTGGAAGGGTACATTTGATTTGAATTGTTGTTATACATGTTTTCGGAAAAAAAATAATGTATGTATAAATTTATATGTATAATATAAGTAATAAAATTTTTTTTTTTTTAAAAAAGAAAAAACAAAAAAAAAAATATTTTTTTTTCTTTTTAAAATATTTTTCTTTTTCCTTTTTTCTTTTTTCAAAAAAAAAAATTGTAAAAAAATAAACAAAAAAGAAAAGATGTTTATATTTTTAATACTTTTTTCACTCTTTTTTTGTTGTTATAGAGAGAGAAAAATTAAAAAAATAAATTTTTTTGTTTCTTGTTTATTTTTTTAAAAAAAGACTTGGAAAAATTTTTTTTTTGATTTTTTTTTTTTTTTTTTTTTTTTTTGATTTTTTTTTATTTAAGAAAAAGGGAAAAAATTACATGAAAAAAAGATAAAAAATGAATAAATACTTGTGAAAAAAAATTGGGGGCTTTTTATAAATGTAACCAATTTTAGTAAATCGTACGCAAAGCCTTTAATAATACAAGAATAAAGGCCGAAAAATTCGGGAAGACTAAAGTTTAGTATAAAAAAAGTAAAAAATATATGATTATTTATTATTATCATAATTTTCCGCTGCAATAAGTTTACATTGTTCTTTATTTTTAATACTGTAAAGGATTAAAAAAGGTAACAAGATTTTTACGTACCTAATTACTTTAATGAAATTTCTGGAACTTCGGAGAGTAAAACAGTATAAAAAAATAGGTAATGATTTACAAATTTAAAATAAAAGCATATTTTTTCCAACCTCAAGTTCCTATTAAAGGTTCTTTTTTTATATATAATTACAAGAATAAATATAATTGGTTTTTTTATCCAAACAATTACTTTCTTAATACAGAACAATTTGAATTTGAAATAATATAATTAATAAGGTATATTCAATATATAACAAGTAAACAAGATATGAATATTATTTACTATATTGAGCATCTATATACATTTCTTAACTATTTCATTTTTAGATGGTGAATACTGCACCCTTTTGAATACCCTTCCTTGAATCCTTTTGAGATATATGATAGATAATGCGCTGTTGGTATGCAGCAAGGAGAGAAAATTTTCAAAATTCTTGTTTTTCTTTCTAAAAGTGATTGATAAACATCTGATATTATTAGTAAATGTAAATGTTCTCCTTAAAATGAAAAGATCATCTCCTTGAAACAAAAATTTGGTTCAGAATATATTTATTTTTTTATTTTTATTTTTTCTTCAGCTTTTTATATTTTTATTTTTATTCAATATTTTATTACTATTTCATTTTGTAAATCATCATATTTTTTTTGGTATAATTGATTATTAATCCAATCAAATGTAGTTATTATGTATTATGATAGTGCATCCTCTCCCATAAACATAGCGTATGTACCATACTTTATATGAAATCTGGTTTTTTTTTCGTACATTAGATATAGTCTAGTATAATATTTAAAAATTTGTAAATTTTGGTAAAAAAACGCCTTCGCTATTTTAAAAGTATTAGTCAATTATCTCGATTACTGTATATATATTTTTTCTTTGCAACATTCTTTCCTTAAAATACTTAAAATACTGGCTTTTGTTTCTCAATCATATGTAAATCATCAATTAAAAAAATTAAAGTAAGTGTTACATCGAGATTTTCCGTATAACTTATTAACCTTTTGTAGAAACAAAATTAAAACTGCGGAATTCACTGGAATTTTACGGGATAAAAGTCATTTACTAAAAAAAAACTATGACGTAATGCTTTCTTATGTTCCTTAATGAAAAATAGGGTCATCTCATGCGCCATGACTCCTTTACCTTATCAAGGTAAAGAATAAAATCGTGGCCAAGTCAAATTTTAATTTTATTATTAACCTTGGCTCAAATTGGTTTTAATTGCCGAGGAATTGTGATATCATAGATCTCCATTCGATTTTTTTTAAAATAAATAAATATTAAATTAAAATCTCGTTATTTTCTTCATAATTCTCAGTTTTATTTTTTTTTTTTGAATTTCAATATGTCATTCTTAACGAAAGAACAACTTGGTAAGACAAAACTCTCTTTTTTTTATGTAAAGATCTTTGTTTTTTTTTATTAATATTTTATATTTTCGTATTATAGACAAATACGTAAAAGATTTAGCATCAAAGAATCCAAAAACTACTTCTTTAAAGTCTCCAACTAGACCATTAAGTGCATCAGCAATTAGTTCTTCATCAATATCAACTGATGAAAGAAAAGTTGGAGCTCTTCATGGACCAAGATCTCCTCCTACTTCTAAGAGAAGTAGTTTAACTGCTACTACTTCACCTAGAGCTTCAGTTTTTAGTAATAATATTATGGAAAATAATAAGAATTCTTCATTAAATGAAATTAAACCTGCTCCAATTATTGAATCAACAATAAATGATTCAATTTCAGATAATTCTTCAACTAAATCAACTGTTACTTCTAATATTAGTAATGATGAAAAAAGGTCAAATTATAAAAGTATTGATGATATAGTTAATGATCTTTCTTATCCTATGGAAACTAAATTATCATTTAAACCTACTACTACCACCACCACCACCACTACCGCCACTAATACTACCAACACTACTACTACTCCTTCTCCTCCTCAATCTAAAGGTAATAATAATAATATTCCATCTGCAAAAGGAGCTGATGATCCAACAAAAGGAAGTTATGTTTTGTCCGCTGCCTTTAAATCATCTTATAGTGCTGCTTCCAGAACACCGAGCATAAAGAAGCCAGTCATTCAACCTTCACCGAAACAAGAACAATTTGAAATAGCTTCAAATAAAAAACAACGTGATTCAACAATACAAGAATTACAAAATCGTTCCGATATAAATTGGAATGCTCGTTATGATGAAGCTCAACAAAAATTTCCTCCTTTAAATAAATTTGAAAAAGATAAAGAACTTCCTTCTCCTCCTTCTTCTTCTTCTTCCCCTCCTCCTCCTCCTTTACAAAATAAAAACGCGGGAGAACCTTTAACATCTTTACCATCAAATAATAGACAAACAATTCGGCCAACTTCTTCATTACATTGTGCTTCCTGTGGAAAGGCTATATCGGGTCATGTATTATCTGCTATGGGTAAAAAATGGCATCCTGATCATTTTGTTTGTAAAAAGTGTGGTATCACTTTAGAACATGTAGCATTCTTTGAAAAGGATGGTGTCCCTTATTGTCACTTGGATTTTCATGAATTATTTAGTCCTAAATGTGGATACTGTGAAACACCTATTGAAGGAGTAAGTTTTAATTTGAATAATTTGAATTTATATTACTTAATTTTTTATTCGAATTTATATTAACTAAAATATTTTCATAATAATCTATTTAATAGCAAGCTATAAATGCCCTTGGAAAATCATGGCACCCGGAGCATTTCTTTTGTAGAGAATGTGGTAATCCTTTTGAGAATGGTTTCATGGTTCATGAAGGTTTTCCATATTGTGAAAAAGATTGGATGAAATTATTTGGTTAGTATTATAATCGTTTCTTTTTGAGGGAAAAATATATATAATATTTTTTTTTTTTTTTTAAAAAAAAAAATAATTTAGCTCCTAAGTGTAAAGGATGCAATGAAGGTATTAGAGGAGAATTTATGAGCGCTTTAGAAGGAATGTGGCATAGAGAGTGCTTTGTTTGCATGGTTTGTAAATTTTTTTTTTTTATGCCATTTGCTTATTAATTAATTTATTTGTTTTGTTAATTTTTCTCCTTTTTTTTTTATAGACTTGTAAAGAACCTTTTTTTAGTTCATATTATTACGTTTCTGAGGGAAAACCATACTGTGATAAACATTATAGAGATCTATTATCCATTAACTAAATATATATTGACATTGATTATATGTAGAAACAATATCTTAGTATAAAAGTATTATTCTTATATTGGTTTATTATCAAATTATTTTATTAATATATATCGAAAAATATATATCGAACAATTTATAAAAAAAAATTAATCATTAACATAAAATTACTATATTTAATGTTTGTAATAATTATGATAAGGTTGACTAGATGGTTAATTATATGATAGTTTACTTATTCTAAATAAAATACCTTCTCAAATCATTTAATTTAAATTTCCTGAATTAGATTGATTTCTTGCTTATTTTCATTCTTCATTAACATTTCAATAGTTTTTTGATCTCTCTTATAATCCTTTATTTCTTTTAACTGTTCTTGCCTTTCTAATTCTATACCTTCTCTTAAAGCTTCTAAAAATGATGAACCTAGTTGTTGAGACAAATAATTAACATATACTATATAAAAGTAAATCTTCTTTTCCGTTGAAAATAATCTTTGTTCAATCTTTCTTTGTCTAGCAGACTTTTTTGTTATCGTTTCACTTCCAACTTGTTGAAATAATCTATATAGATCTGACAAAGCCGCCAAAACATTGTTGGTTGAAGAAAGTAAATTAACGATATCATCTAAAATAAGATATGAAAACTCTTGCGGTTGACTATAAATAGGATTCTAAAAAAAAAAAAATCGATTAAAGTCGATTAAATGAATCAAAAATAAAAAAAAAATTAAATTTAATCAAACCTGAAAAGTTAACGAAGAACTTGCAGCAATAGCTTGAGAAATACTTTCATATACCAGATTGTCATTATTTGCTAAAATGGGTGATAAATCCCATAATACCTTACAAGATTCTTCAGGATGTTCAAAAATATCCCCATTAAAAGTGCGACAAGTATATGCATAAGCATATCTATTTAAAAGATCAAAAATTTTTGGTTAAGATAATAAAATATCATAATCGTGCAACATAATATCATGCAGAAAGGATACAGTATATTTAATAAATTTAAGGATATTGCAGGATTTGGAGTTGTTTTAATTAAATCTTCTAAATTCTTAATATCCGTTATAATAAGGGGTCTATCAGCAAGATCACCACCACTATCATCACTCTCATATTCGAGATCATTTTCATCTTCGTTTAATTCAATTATTTTTGATGATAAAACTTCTTTTTTACGATTATTATATTCTGTCGTTATTTCCCACCATGGTTTCCATAAAAGTAATTCATCTGATAATTCTGAAAGATCTGATTTTCCATTAACATATTTTTGTTCAAATTCTTCTTTTTCTGCTGGCGTTAATTTACTCCAAACTGTATCAAAATCTGCAGAAGCTATAATATATTAATTAGTTAAATAATATTGATTATAAAAAAAAAAATTTATCAAAATCAATCAAATCATTCTTACCAAGATCAATATCTCTAAATCGCTCTGATATATCGTTATCAACTAAATCTTTAAAGGAGAGGTGTTTATATATTATATATTACTCCTTGTTTTTTAATTTATTTAATCTTAACCAATTTCCTACCTTTATCGTTTGATTCCATTTCTTCCCTTGCCATCTCATCATTTTCTTTTTCAAATTTATTCAACATATTTAACATTTTTTGTTTTTGATCATCATCTACACGTTGAGATTTTATTTCTTCAATCACATTATCTTTATAAAAAGATTCCGTGCAATGTGAATGAATCTAAATAGAACAAGGATATTTAGTATCTATTTAAAAAAAAAGTATTCATCTTAAATATCTTAAAGTGTAAAATAAATCTTACCTCATTTTTATAACAATCTAAAGAACAATATTTAATATCACATCGAGGACAAGTATATTTTGATACTTGTTTCTTACAACTAAAGAACGAATTAATTAAGTAAGTTTGAAACGAGTTTAAATGAAGCTTTTTTATAATAAATTTATTAAAAATAAAATTTACATGCCACAATTTCTTGCTTTACTTCCTTCTTGTGTATTTTCTTCATCTAAATCATGAGATGTTATATTAAATAATTCCGACATTGTATTCCTTGCTTTTTTTGCGTAGTAAAAAGGATTTCCGCTTAAAATGTGGGTCAGGGTTGTCAATCAGCCTTAAATAACAGATCTACAGACCGCAACAATTACGTAAATTACCACGCTTATTATTAAATTAATTTTTCTAACCAATTTTATCTTAATACATTATACAACATATAAAGTTAGAAAATGAATTGATTCTAAAACGCCAAGATACACAAATCATTGTTAGTTTTTTATCTTTTGAATGAGAGTGTGGAGTGTCATTTTATTTACAGAATACAGGAAGAATGTGAAAAACAAGACGTATTACAAGAGATACTGATTTATTTAAATATGACGCAGGGTAGCGTGATGTACAAGTACTATAAAGAATACAAAGCAAAAGTTTAAGCATCTATTTGCAAGCACCTTGTTTTTTTTTTAAAAAAAAAAATTTCTCTATCACTATTAAGTAATAACTTTCAGTAAAATGTTTTTATATGTATATTAATTACTATTAAGTAATAACTTTCAGTAAATTGTTTTCATACGTATATGAATTGTTGAATGCTGAAAAATTCAAAGCATTAAGGATTTGGCTTGGACTATAAAATGGAGGGTTTTAAAAGGCGCTCGCAATTAAACCCGCAGCAACTCCGGCGACCGGTCCTCCCAGCAAGGATACTCCTATGCTGGTAAGAATAGGAAATACCAAATGTCGAATGAAGATTATACCGACCCGGCACGCCTTTTCATACAATTTTTTAAAGAATGTTTTTTGTCTCTCAACTTTTATTATAAAGTTTCGTGAGATTATAAATATGCAAAATGAAGAAAAATCACATCGAATAAATAAATAATATCAATCTTATTCATACAAAGATGTTAACTTTAACCTACCTCCAATAAATTGATCCAAGATCGCTCTTTTTGTTGTTTTATATTCTTTACTAGTCAGAAGGTGTTTACATTGTTCGAGTTCACGGAGCTTTTCAATGAGAGAGAGTCCGGACATAATTTTTATATCTTTTTATTTTATTCGTCTTTTGTAAAAGTCTTAGTATTAAATAAGATGTAAAATCATTCAATGCGCATAAACAGTATTATATCCAACTTACAAAGTTAGGAAATAATAAAATCAATGGAAAAAAAAGAATTTTGAAAAAAAAAAAAAATTGCAATGTGAAAATAATTTATATAAGTTTGTTTTAAATTCAGCACGACGTAAACAAATACCAAACAAATATAATTAATTGGTTCAATCAAATTTAATGTAACAATATGATTGAATTTACACATCTATAACAAAAAAAAAGGAAAAAATAGAGAATTACAAAGAATAATATTACCGCATAACAGGTAATTCACTAAAAATAGAGAAATATATTGTCATTTTGTATAATTACACCAACAAACTTTCACGTGACTTTCTAGCCGGAGTTATAACAATTTACTGTGGCATTAGTTATGTGAATATTTGATAAATAATGTGACAAAAATTGTTCTAAAAATACTTTGGAAATGACAATATAACAAATATTTTTTGTATTTTTAAAAATTACTTTAATTAATGATTAATATTTACATTAATAACCAAAAAAATCACACTTTTAAATGTAATAAAGTAAACAAAATTTTTGTTAATTTAATATTTAACCCTGAATTATTAAAAATTAAATAATAATAATTCATTTTACACCTACTTTGATTTTATATTTAGCAATAACAATAAATTAGTTTTTTAATCAAATTAGAATAGGCCAGTTCATAATTGATTGAACGGGATATTTGGTTGGTTGCACTAAAAATTCAGACCAATAAATTTATCAACTAACCGTTCAATGTGAACCACCAAAAATATAGGTCGTTTTGGTTGAGTAGACAAAAATACTGACAAAAATAAACAAAGCCATAACAACTTTGATCATAAAGATTAGTGTAACATGACCAAAAAAAGCCGATTGAACAATTATGAACTGGCTCAAGTTTGCTTCCCTCAATTTTACGCTGTTCACATTTAATAAAGTAAGATTCAGATGTATATCTACCTTCTATACTTTCTTCTTCACCATGCCCCAACTTGCATAATGGACATAATTTCTCATCAGTAATTCCGTAATAATCAAAATTTTCACTACTAAATTCCCTATATAAAGTAGAATATTGATCCAATGTTTTGTTGCGAAAATAGATGCAGTCAAAAGTTGAATTAGTCCTACTTGTTTGAGATGTGACTGATGAAATCATTTCTGCAAAAGTCACATGACTCTGATCGTTACCATTGGTAATGGTTTTCGAAATTACATGAACCCGATCATCCACATAATCTATAATATTTTGAATTTGAGTATTATTTAATCTAGAAATATTACTTGCGCTATAAGTGACTAACTTATTAATTCTATCTATCCCAACCCCTTTTTCTCTGAACAGCATAAGAATATTTTTTAATTCACAAATCGCATCTGATCATTTAAAGTTTACTCTATATTTGAAAATTTAGATTGTAAAAAATATTGTTTTTTTATATTTAAGCTCATAAAGATGTTAATGCAAATAAATTTTGTTATAGCTTTGACGAAATTATATATTAATAATGTAATACATCTTTATGATCCTTTCATGTTACAATTATCTATTAAACGCTTGATCAAAAGGTTCAAATTCAATTCGACTTCCACCACATAAACCTTTGACAGTTATACAATTAACTCTAATTGCTGCGGTACATACATCAGGAATTGCAGTCTGATGACGGACCCTTTTGTAAATAAGGGAAAGAAAAAATGTGTTATCTGAAGTTAAATAGTTATAAATATATATTAATAAAATTTCTCATACCATTGAGGTAGATTATGTTCACATGTGGCAAGTGCTGGACCATCTCTAAACAAGAAAACGGTATCATGATAATTTACTGCTCCATTTGCTGTCAAAAAGTTGATTATTGCATTTTTGTTCTGTCCAGCAATACCGTTTCGATTATTGGGTGATATGGGCACATCATTAAAACCGCCGTTATTCCACTGGATTACAATGGCAGGCATATCACTAAATTTTTTTGATACTTTAAAAACAAGAATAGCAATGTGAGGATCTTGAAGGATTGCAGGAAGATCTAAACATATATATTAAATAGTGAAGAAATAACTGGTCTGCAATAAATTTTTTTATAATACTATTTAACAAACTCATTAAAACTTTATGCAATAAATCATCAAAACTTCTAGCGTTCAAATACCTTGGTTACAAATTCTTGCAAGTTGATTAATGTTGTGTTGTTGTACTACAATAAGAATATGGTTATACTTTAAAAACTGTCGCAAGATTCACAAAATTTTACTTGAGGAAAAAATATACCTCTATTGCGAATGTATTCAAAAGGATTTGACATAATTGGAAAGAAAGAAAAAAAAGAGAAATTGTTTGGGTATATCGGTTTATTGATTCTAATATACTGATGCATGGTTAATAAATCACCCGATGCAACAATTACATTTATCAGAATAATAATAATCATTACTTTTACATTGCGATTCTCCAATTTATTAAAACTAATCAAAATATTTTTTATTTATATCATGTTGTACGATTGGCTAATCGGGTGGCTTATCGATTTACGATTTGATCTCATCAAGAAAATTAATACTAAATTTAGACATCAATTGATAAAATCAATTGAACTAATTCTAAAAATGAATCACTCAACGTACGAGTGATTTTTATTTTAATAGGAATTAATAGAAAAAATTGTGTTATTTTTTTTCAAACGCCAATATAATTTTTAAGGAGAAATTTTTTTTTCATTAATCAACAAAAGTTTTTAGAATCAAGCTTATTATAGTAGCGTGTAGTGTAAAAAACCAGTATACATTTAGTCAATTCGTATGTTATAAATTAAAAAAAGGACTTATCTTTTTCTAATGAAATTTCTAATGAAATATAACCTCGAAGTTGTTACTACTGCTGAAAGTCTGCACATAATTTTTTTCGATATCGCAATATCACGATTGCATAACTAAATAGGTGTATAAACGATTGTTACAAATATAATCGTGAGAAACATATTATTTTTATGGTGACGTATGATACATTTTTTTTAGTACGTATTAATATGATTTATTTAATCAAACCAAGTGAAATTCTATATAAAAAATATTCCGCCCAAATGTAAATTGAAGAACACATATCCAAATTTGAAGTATCTAAATTTGGGCGACATTGAATTGGATCTCAATAAAAACTTTACTTCTAAACCGATAACTGATAAAGGTCTATCTGCAATAGCGCAGTCATGTCATAAATTAGAATATCTAAACAGAGAGTTTACTGAAATATCGATTTGTAACATTATTTATTCTTGCCCAATGCTTAAACATCTTGACCTTAGCTTTTGCAAAATTACCGATTTTACTATTGGGCAAATTGCTCGTTTATGTCTCAATTTAAAATATCTTGATCTGGAAGGGTGCGGTAATATTAGGTAAAAAGCGGTAGACCAACTTAATTCATTCATATTAAGTTTTTTAGGGATAAGATTGTTCCCGATCTTATTGCCACATATAGTGGTTATCTTAGACAGGCTCATTTTATTTCCTTCTTAATCAGGAATTATCATAGCACTCTACAGAATGGTGGTACTAGCTAGTCCGGAGAAGTGCCCGGCTCGGGAGATTTTTTGCTGAGCCTCCTGTGTGACAAAAAAATGTAGATTAGCTAACCAGTTTTAGACATGGGCACTGATTACCGATGTTAATTGGTAAATTTTTGACGAATGTTTCGTGCAATTGTTGAGGAGTAAGATTTGGAAATAGCGGAAGTCCCTCTCCAGTAACCCTAATTTTCTCTACTCCCATTTCACCATATTTCGGTAATATCACACCTAGGGATGGTTAGGTCGGTCCTGGTCCGGTCCTGGTCCTGGGACTTATAAGTCCTATTGAACGGACCTGCGGACCAGGTCCTGTTAGGACCAGTCCTGGACCTGGTCCCAGGACCTGATCCTGACTAAGTTATTTATAGATTTTATGAATTTAATGATAACTAAATATAAAAAAAGTGATTTGCGGTATTGCGATTCACTTTTTTATATTGATTTTATATTAAAAAAAGTGAGTTGCGGTATTGCAATTCACTTTTTTATATTGATTTTATATAAAAAAAGTGAGTTGCCGTATCGCGATTCACCTTTTTATATGATTTTAATATAAAAATGTAAATCGCAATATCGCAACTCACTTTTTTTATATAAAATCAATATAAAAATTGTATTGCAATATTGCAGTGCATTTTTTATAATTTATTATTACTTAAAATCAAATTTACAATTTATACATATATAATTTAAACATAATATAATTTTATATAGATCTCTCATAACCTACACATTTAATGTTTATATATAATGATTAGGACTTTTTAGGACCTGGTCCGCTTAGACTTAAAGATCTGCAGACTAGGTCTTAGGACCAGGTCTTTAGGTCCAGGACCTAGGACTTTACCATCCTTAAATTCACATCTGGATCATCTTCTAATGGACCATGGAATTCCTCAAACTTTTGGAAATATGCTCTTACTTTTTCATTGACTTCTTCTGCCCTTTCTTGATTAGAATATAAACCAATAATACTGAGTTCATCCTAAATTGTAGGGGTTCGATCCGTAATCTGGTAAATTCAGATTGATCCGCTCATCTGAATAAAAATTGGATATCCTTATCCGATGATTTCTGACAGATGGATCCATAAATTTATCGGATTAAGGATTGCAGATCATCCGGATTATAATCTGGATTGTAATAATATAAATTAAAAGGATCGAAAAAAAAAATTAAAAAAATTTTAAAATTATGTCAGTCTTTTAATCTTAGCATTAAATTTATTTTTTTTTTGCAATTCATTTTTCTCATTTTGGACCCTATTTTTATCATGTTCCTTTTGCCCTCAAACCATTCCTATTTCATTCCTTTAGCCCCTTACGGGACTTTGCTATTTTTTTTTCTGAATTTTAAAACCTTTACTATGGCAGATAGTTCAGATTTTTATCCTGATGAAGATTTTAACTTTGAAATACCAGATGTTATCTTGGAACAGCAAATCGAAACACCTGGAAGTTCAGAAATTTTGCATGAACCAGTAGTTACTAGAAAACTACCTGTCGTTCAAAGAACCCTTTCCTTTTTCACAATATCTTCAGGAAACAAAGAAAAAGGTACTAAAGTTTAAATTTTAAAATTATAAATTGCAATAAATTATTATTTATTTTATTGATGTAATTGTTTTTTATCTAGGCAAAGGAGTTGAGCTTCCTGAGATTAATAGTAAATATAAGCGTAAAAAACCATCATTTACTCAGGAATATTTTGAAAAGGAGGTTAATGATAAAGGTGAAGACATTCGAATTTGCAATATTTTAGACGGAAGTAGTATAAAATGTGGCCAAGAATATAAGTGCGGAAAGAGTGGAAGTTCAACAGGCAATCTTATCGTGCATCTTAGAGACAAACATAACATTGTATCATCTGATGATGCAGATATTTCAAAAAAGGTAAATACAGCTGTTGACCGTTATGTATTCATTAAATTTTTTTTAAATACTGTCATATTGTTAATTTTTAGCCACGCAACTCTAAAATTACTGATTTTGCACAAAATCATAAACCTCATCCTAAACATATTCAAAAAAGACGTGAAGAAGCAACCCTTAAATAGATGTTACTTACAAATCAACCCCTTTCTGCAGTTACTAATGAAGCCTATAAAGAAAAAATGGCAGAATTCGATCCTTCCTTCATTATTCCAGGAGAAAAAAAAATTAGAACAATGGTTGTTAAGAGTTACAAGTTTAATCAGGAAAATTTGCAGAATCTCCTTACCGAAACTGCTGAGAATGTTTCTCTTACAATTGATCTCTAGTCCAGTAGAGCCAAGCATGGGTATTTAGGAGTTACTGCAACTTGGATTACGTCAAAATTTGAAATCAAAGATACAATGCTAGAAAATAAATATGTTCCTTCTCCACATACTAGTAACATTATTGCCAATGAACTTCATAAGTGTATTGAAACATGGAATCTTGGAAATCAAGTGACTTCAATCACAATGGATAATGGATCTAATATGGTAGTAATTTTTCCTTTATTGAATCAGAAAAATGGATGTGAAAATATCTGACGTTTTCCTTGTACAGCACACACTCTCCAGTTGGCAATTGGAAAGGGATTAGCTCCAGCAGAAATTTTGGTAGCATGCGCAAGGAGACTAATTAATTTTTTTCAATATCAAAAATAAGTGGAAAGATTAGAGCAGGTGCAGAGAAAACTTGACTATACAGATATTTTGCGTTGTATTCAAGATGTATCTACACGTTGGAATTCATTGTACTATGCGTAGGATCGTTTATTTTTTTTAAAGGATGCTATTACTCAACTTCAGGCCGATTTATTCACATCAACAGATCGTGAAATCAAAAAAGATGAAAATAGATTGAAGAGATTGTTACTTACGAATGATGAATGGGAGTTGCTGGACCAACTTGTTGATTTGCTAATGCCATTTGAAGAAGCAACTCGTGAATTTTCTGGAAATTCATATATTACTTTAAGCTGAGTTATTCCAATAATTAAAGAAATGATTTTTGATTTAGCTACTGAAGTACTGTCAAATAATGATGATTTTTTGAATGAGTATACCATATTTGGATCGAAAGCCCTAGAAATACAACAGACTGACTTTAATGACGATGAAGTTATAAATAATATTACAAAAAAGAAGATTTCAATTAAAAATCCATTAAATACAGTAAGTATTTTGGAAAAAATAAAACAAAATATTTACAATGCATTGATATATTACTGGGATATTCCAAACGATCTTGGCTTAATGGCAGCTTTATTAGATTCTCGTTATAAAAACTTAGATTTTCTAGATGATGACTGATGAGAAACAACGAATTGTCCAAAAACTCCGCAGTGAATTGGGTGGAGTAGAAACATCAACATCTGAACCATTAAACAATCCATCAACTCCACTTAATGCATAATCTTCTATGCATTCACATAAAGAGTATCATCAACAGCGGCAAATGAAAAATAAAAGAGGGGATAAATCATATCCAAATACACCAATTATTGATGAAATTACAAATTATTTGTCATTACCATTAGCATTGGAAACTGAAAATCCTTTAGATTGGTGGAAATTACGATTACAAATGTTTTCAAAACTTGCCAGAATTGCCTGAAAGTATCTTGCAGTACCAGCAACGTCGGTATCAAGTGAACGGTTATTTTCAGATGCCGGAAATCTTATTAATACTAAAAGGACAAGTTTAAATACAAATTTGGCAGCTAAAATGCTTTTTTTAAAAAGAAATCTTAATACAATGCATGTTTTTGCATCAGAATGGGATGATGAAACGAGTCATATTGAGATAGATTAAGGGTTTCAGTTTCTTAAATAAAATTTTTTCAGTAAAGTTTTTTCAATAAAGTTGCTTCAATAAAGTTTTAAAAAGTATAATTTTTAAAATTATTAAATGAAAATTAATTATAATATTTAAAATAATTTATTTTTGCGAAATATAAATTAATAAAAATAATAAATTTTGATTTTTTTAAATTTGATGGTCGGGTTGATCTGGAACTTACGGATTATCCATAAAATTTTCAAATCTGAATTATTATCCAGATTTGGCAAATACATTAAAGGGAATCCGAATTTGATCTGGATTATCTCTAAAAAATCGGATCGAACTCCTACTAAATTGTCACTATATCGTCTTCTAAACATAAAAGCAAATTAAATATTTTTCCATATGAAATATTCGTAGAAGTTTCATAAGCTTTATTGCTTTAGAGCGTCTCTTCTAGAATGGGATTGCTATTAATCCTAAGTCTCGTATTATATCCTCCATCAAATCTAACAACAACTCATATGAATCAGCAGGTATTTTTCACCATTTCGCTTTGATATTTGCCATTTGATTTGCATTGCCACTAATACCAAGTTTTTCCTGAATAGCTATTATATCCTTCTTCTAATATAATAGCACTTCATATAATTAATCAAGCGTTTTAGAATTATTATTATTATTTGCTATGATTGTTATAATAAAGTAATATATTTATGTGAAAATTTCTGAGTTCAGAATACTGCTCATCAACCTCGGAGAAGTGATCACCAGCTCAGAAGACTTAGCACAGATTTCTGCGCAATGATGTAATAGCCAATCATCAGGCAGGATTTGTGTGATATATTAATTTTATATATTTGCTTCTATCTTTTTTTCTCCAAACAAATGTGAGAAAAATGTAAAAGGAGGTTTAATTGCAACACAAAACCAGCTCTAAAAGTAAATAGTGATGGCAAAAGCATATGTTGTAAAAGATTGAGGGACTCACAATTTCAAGATCACCAGGCGTAAGATCAACTATGTTTCTTTCTGATAAATCTACATGTAAAAAGGTATGAAGATTCTATTTACATATGCTTTTGCTTTAATACCTTCAGCCATAAAGCTCCTGGCATCATATGACAATGTTAATCATGACTCATATCTCCTTAACTTTTTTAAAGCATATAGGTGTATATGGAAGTTCAGCTAACTTTTTCACAAAATTTTAAGGTAATATATTTTTTGTATATTTTTAGAAAAAAATGTTTCAAAGGATTATTGCATCTGTATGAATGAAACTTTATTCACTATAAACATTTACATTTAGAAAAAGCAAAATGTCAGAAATCAGGCTTAATTGTCTTATTATTCCTAGTAATTCAGTTGGGAGAATTACATAACAACATGTCATTACAATTAAAATTAATAACAAAAAATCTGTCCATTCTCTCAAATCACAAATTAAAAAAGAATATACTCCCTAATTTAATAATATTCCAATTACTGAATTTGAATTTCCTTAAATTCAGATAAAGTGCTAGCATTAGTTAATGCTAAAGGAGTGATGATAAGCATGAATAGTAGGAGACAGAATGAAGAACAGACGTTGATTTCAATGCTCAATATTTTTGATTATTTTCTTAAGCAACTTTCTGAAAAAAATATTCATATTATAATTTATTTAAAAATTCAAACATCCTAGTAGTGAGCAGTGTTTTCGTTGCGCTATTTTTTTATGTATCAGTTGCTCTGGCAATATTCTTTATTTCATAAATAAAGTATTATTATTATTTTATCAGTATATGAGAAATGAATCACGTGTAATGATGTGTGTTTACAAAGTAAACTAACATCTTTATCTGAGCCAATCTAATATATATAAAAAATGTAACGTTATTTCAGATGATAAGTGTTCACGGTTAGAGAGGCGTAGTGATTAGGTGATTATTGCACCTATGATGTATACCCTACCTCAATATTTTTTTACAAATAAAATTCTTTTTTACTCTTGTCCTCATTCACACTAATTTGCACTAATAATATTTCGCAAAAAATACCATATAAGCTGAAAATATATCTATCACTTAATACTGGTAAGTTCATGAAAAAATATAATAATTACTTTGAATAACTCATATATGGCCAATAATCGAATTATTTTTTGATCTCAAGAATAATACAAAATTGTAAAATCATAGGCATGAACATATCAAAAGGTACCAAAACTCCAACGAGATAATAAACTTAGAGAGATAGTCATCATATTATTGACTAATTATTCGGAATAAGTTTATTATTTAGATTTTTTAAATGTGATATAATTAATTAATTATATAATTTTGATTTTTATTATATTGTTTCAGAAAATATAATAATATTTTGGATTAATTTAAAATTTACCTCCAGTGAATTTAAAAAAAATTCACTAGAGTAAATTTCACTATGATCTGCAATACATTAAAAATTTTAAATTTTACTTCAGTGAAATTTACCAGGTGAATTTGTACTATGCAAAATATTTTTTACATGCGTTTTTTGTTTTTTTCCAAGACAACTTGGATTTTTTTATTTTTTTTTGTTACTTTACTTTGCTAATTTTTTCTTCTTTAGATAATGATAATTTAAGTAGAACCCCAGACATTACATATACAACTCAGTGGCAACTTTTTCGCAGATTGACCTAAATTTCACAAAAAAAAATCAGTTTTTTGCGATTATCTCAGCATCCAGTAGTCTAATTTGTATGAATTTTTTTTTTGTTTTATAGTTCTCATTGAGCTCTACAAAATAAAAATATTCTGCATGAATCAGATTACTGGATACTGAGATAATCGCAAAAACGGAAAATAAAAAAGAGCAAATTGGGCCTTTTTTGGCAAAAAGTCAGTTGTAAGTTCTATAAGAGATGTCTGGGATCCTATTTAAATGACTTCAGGGAATTTAAGGTAGAACTCATCCTTTTACTGTTTTATTCAATTGTTTTCTGTTACTAAAATGATACTAATCAGTATTCTTTTTTTCTATAATCTTTTTATTCCTTTTTTTTCCTATTTGTTTCCTTTTCATTTTCTATATTATTTCCTTTATTTCCTATCATCCCTTTTGCTTCTATACCGATTTCTATTATCATTCTGCATATATATTATTTGACATTATCATTTTTGCTCTTATGCCAATTTCCATTATCATTTTTTACTCCCATACCGAATTCTATTATTATTTTTACATCTATGCTATTTTTCGTTATCATTTCTACTCCAACACTAATTTTTATCATTACTTTCGCTCTCATGCCAATTTTTGTCATTACTTTTGCTTCCATATCAATTTTCATCATCACTTTCACTTCTATACCAATTTCTGTTATCACTTTTGTTTTCATGCTGATTTCAATTATCCCTTTCACTCCTATGCCAATTTTTGTTATTGTTTTTGCTTCTACACTGATTTTTCATCATCACTTTCGCTCCCATGCCTATTTCCATCATCATTTTTACTTTCATGCCAATATCAATCATCATTTTTACTTCTATGTCATTTTTCATCACGCATCACTTTTGCACCTATTTTTTTTCATTATTTTTTCCACTTCTATATAGTTTTTTATCATTCATTTCACTCCCTATTTTTTACATCATTTTTTTCATTTTTTGCTACTATTTTTTCCTTTAATTTTTGTTATTTATTTCATTTTTTTTTTATCATTTATTTTATTTCTTTTTATCTATCTTCTATTATCCATTTTACTCTCTTGTTTATTTATAAAATTTTATAATAATGCGCATTATTATTAATTGATAATTTTAATTACATTATAAAGGAGTGTATTACAATAAGCAAAAATTATTGGAATAAATAGTGATGGAAATAGTGTGTAGGATTAATTAAAGTTAAATTTTCTATAATTTAAAAAAAACTTTTTGTTAATAAAATTTTGCAAGTTTGTACTCAGTTTTATTCATTAAAGAAATTTTTTTAATAAAATTTGTAGTCACATAATATGGTGAAATTTTATAATTTTATCTAGTGAAATTTACTTCTGGTAAAATATAACCCTCTGGTAAATTTCATTCCTAATGAACATTAAAATCGTCTTAATATTTTAGTAGCATCAAATTTACACAAGTCAAAAAGTGAAAAATCAGGCATCAATCAGTCACCAATCAACTTTTTGTATCACTCCATTTTATTTGGTATTATTTAAACCAATTTTACTATTCATGAATTATATATTATAAGTTAAATTTGAAAGGAAAAAATAAAAACAAATAAATGTAATATAAATTTATAGAATAAATAAAAATACATATACTGTATATTTTAAAAATTATATTTATTAAAAATTTTTTTATATAACTTTTTAATCACATGATATATGTATAAGCATTTATTTACTATTATTATACCAATAATTTTATAATTAAAATTCTACTTTTACATGACTAGTGATATTTAAAAAGATGTAAAAAAAAATAATTTTGGAAGATAAAAAAAACTGTCTTTTAAATAAATATAAATAGTAAAAATGTTATGGATGTAATAATAGTAATAAATATTTTTAAGTTATGTGAAGTAGAAATTTGTTAGTATTACTGGAAAAGATATGAATACCTAGTATAATTTAAGAAATTTTCTATAATTAAAATTTTACTTTTAAATTATATTAAATTTAATTTGTTGAATTTTTTTTTTATTAAAAGCATATTTAAACTATATTTGCTAAAATTGATATTAAAAGATATTTATCATATAATATTTATAAAAGTATTAATATAATAGTTTTTATTTATTTTACTGAAAAAAATTAAAATAATTTTCTTTTTATTAATATCTGATAATAATTATAAAATTGGCCATACTATTAAGGTAATTATAATAGTTATAATAGTTTAAACTTTGATATTACTAGATTATAAATTCATCCCATTCTAATTTAAATATATTTTAAATGAATATTTTGATTAATTTCAAAGTAAGTAAATTATAAACTAATAAAGGCCAAACTGAAATACTATAACTTGATTATATTCTAATTCTAATAAATTTTTTTTTTTTTAAAAAAAAAAAAATATATATATATGTATACTTAACATTCTTAAATTTATCTACATTAAAAAAGACTAAATTATTCAGCAATAATAAGTTTTATAATACTTTCCAATATATTAACACCCATACCCCTAATAACTTCTTTTTCAGCTAAAAATCCATCAACTAATCTACCAATCATAATCCGAGAATTTTCAAATCCCATAACTTGTTTTATTGAACTTGGTACAACTTTTTGTAAAAGTAATTTTTTTACTTCCTCTTTTGTTTTTAATTTCTCTTCTTCAGTGCGTAAAGATGATGTTCCTGTCCAAGTGCCATTTGGCCAAAACGAATTTGTAAAATTGTCAATTATAGATGTCACCTTTTCTTCAGTGGATAAAGTATCAATATACATTAAAAATGAAGTTTTAATTGCTTCCGTATATGATCTTCTAACAACCTCTCTTAGAACTGATAATACAGTCCTACGAAGATGCCACTGAGATTTAACTGATAAATCAAATATTTCTTCGACTACGGCAAAAATTGTATCAATTAAAAGATCAATATCTTGACCTGTTAATTGTTTATTTGGTCTTACTCGATGTTTTGATATTAAATTTGTATCATCTGAGTCTGATGTAGCATCATTATCTGCAATTGAAGATCGATTTGAAGGAGCATCCACCATAACAATTGAAGATGTATCACTTTCACTTGTAGATGTTGGGGTGGTTCGATTAGATCCCCATGCTGTTGAATTAACTGTTTCGATGCTGGGTTGTGTAACCATTGTAGAAGACGAATTCTTTCCATATAATTCTTCAGGAATCTTTGATAATTCTGTGGAAATTCTTGGTAAAAAGTCGGAAATTTTCTTAAAAGCTGCTTCCGATGACCTTAATATCTCGGAGGATTTTTTCGGTAAAAATGCTTCATCATAACTTTGATTCCGTTTATCATGTTGATTCTTTGAATCGCTATTATTAGTTAAAAGATTCACCATAGACATAGATTTTGCTGATAAGATTGACAATCCTCTTGTTTTTTTCAAATTAGGCATCTCCGAGTTCTTTTTTGGTAACCCATCTCTTTTCATAAACTTTTGTAAAGCATCACTTTCACAAAGTATAACATCACTTAGTAAAATATTCAAATATCTTTCTAATGCTTCGCAAGCCTCATGATTTTTTTTAAACTTTAGCCGAGGCATTGTCACTTTATCGACTTTAGGAAAAGCTTGTACTAAAGATTGATGCATTTTTTCAAAATCTGTATAACTTCGTGTCATAATCCATCCTGTTGATCCAGGTTGCTCAACTTCAATCATATAACCTAAAGATTTTGTTAAAACAATATACTTATTCGGCGCCTCAGAAACTTCAGTCATTCTTATACGTATTCCCGTTAAATCCATCATCGGAGGTTTTGATTGGTCAATTAATAATTCGCGATTACTCTCCGTCGTGTCGTCAACTTCATAAGGCTTTGCATCGGAATTTTCAGAAATATTTTTAGTCAATTCTCCCAGAGCCTCAACCGATATGCCATTTGACCAAGACATAGATCGTCTTCTTGGATTGGCTTGCAAATGTTCAGAATCATTTTCCCTAGGTAAACTATTATCAAGGAATTCCGAAGTTGAAGATAAAACGGAATCACCCAATGTGTTTGGTCGGTTTAAAACCTTTTCTTCAATTGATGTTTCTTCCGATAAGGAGCTTGATTTATCAGGTGGGTGTTCATCTTTAATCAAGAAACTCATGTCTTCACCCTGAGTTTTCATAGATTTTATGAAATCATCAAAATAATTTCTCTCCAAAACGACAAAAACGTATTCTTGTAACATCATAAAACAATTACTTGACGGTGCTTTCAATATCTCCGTAACACATTGTTCAACCAATCCCTCTTCAACAACAACTACATGATATGTTGCGGTATTACCAAAATAAGTTTTAAATATTCCTAAAGCATCCTCTTGAATCAGATTAACATCAACTTCTTGAGTTGCTATTTTCCGAAATGAATCTGCCTGAAGCCAAAACCTTAGTAAATTGGCCGATTCTCTTTCCTCTAGAAAAGCCATAAATTCCGCAAAAGTTTCTCCCCGATTATTTAAAATATTTTGTAAATTAATTGATTTATTGGACCGCGAAAATAAGCAATTAGGAGAAACTGTAGGAGAAACTGTAGGAGAAACTGTAGGAGATACCGCTGGTGAAACGTTTTCCTTAACTGTAATTTCATTTTTAGATTCTGCATGATTTTCTTCAACTGATTCTATTGGTTCATTGCTGATTTCTGTTTTAGAATCAGCAGACAAATTTTTTTGCATTAGTGTAGCTAATGATTGATTTAGTTGAGTAGTCGTTGAACCATTACTCGAAATAGACGTCCGATTTTCACCTGAAGACTCATGAGGTACTGTAGGTGCGGGGTTTACAAAGTTAGATGAATCAGAAGGTTGTTGTTGTTCTAATTTTTCAGCTAATTCAGCCGCTTCTATCGAATTTGCCAATTCATGGAATAGAGTAGCTTCGTGCTCATCAATTGCATCTATTGGAGAGATATCCGTTAGATATTCAACAATGGTACGATTAATCCAGTCAGGGTCACAAATAGTATTGAGTGTTGCTTGAAAAATTAGATTGGCCCACAAATCAGATAAAAAGGTCATTAAAATATGACTATGAATTTCTGATGAAGGTAATAGTCTTATAAGCATCAAATGAGATACTGAACGAAGGATTTGTGCTTGTGCTACTCTATTTGTTGACTGTGTAAGAACAGAAGATTCATTTTGGCTACAATAGACACTTAAAGGTGTATTTGTCACTATAAATTTTCTATATTCTCGCTAAATAATGATGATGATAATAATTAATTTATTAATATCTAGATGACAAATTAATATACGCAACAAGAGTTATATACATACCAAATGAACTATAAATGTGTTTGAAATTGCAAAGCTCGACATAACGCCTAATTCTACTTTATCTAAATTTTGGAAACATAAAGATAAATTCATTGCCATTACATTCATAGCATTTCTAACTTGATTTGAAAATTCTGGACATTCGTTAGGATTTATTGGACTATAATAGAAGTCCACTATATCACGTATAATATATTTAAACACTTTATCTAAAGATTTATCGATATTAGCTGTAATTGCTAGCTCTGTCATCTTAACTTTTTCTGCTGATTTTAAGGCCTTCAATTAAAAAAAATACATATACATATTAGATAGTAATATAATAAATATTCAAATACAAAGTTATCTCTAAAATTTACCTCTGAACTTAAATTCCTCGATATATTTGTGTCTTTTACCATAACGATTTTTTCCTTTATTTCATTTGTAACTGTATTTGCCCTAAGCATATAACCGAATGCTACACCAAGAACAAGTAATAGTAAAGGAGATCTTTGTAAATAACTCCAAGTGAAAATAATAAGTAAATATAATATAAAAAGCATTCTTGGTGTTGATGAAACAAAATATTGGAATAATTCTACTGGTCCCATACTAGATGATAAAGTTGGTTGCATTACATTTTCGGAAACTATACTTTTATCTTGTAGAGTTGAGATTACATTAATTGTTTTGGTTTTTGCTTTATCGGACTGTTTTTCTGATGAAGTATCGCTTTCATTATCATTTTTTTCAAATTTTAAGTTATTGTTATTTACTTCCGGCGTCTTATTAAGTTCATTTTCCTGGCTATTTACAACATCCAAGTCTTTAATTAATGTATTTTGATCAATATGATCTGATAATGATTCGGATATCATGTTGCAATGATTAACTGATAAATTATAATTATTATTATTAGATTTAATATATCATAAGATGATTAATTTTTTTTTATTTAAGTATTATGATTACTGGAAAAGACCATAAGTAAAGAGCTAAATTAAAATAATAAAAAATTATGAAATTGTAAATAGTTCATTATAATAAAAATTACGCGAAAAAAATGTCATTAAACATAATCCTACAAATTGAACATAAAAAACTCTAGGATCATTCCCAAAATTTTTCTTCGAGACCCGTAAGATTCAAAAATTAAACTTTGAATCCATAAATAAATTCGATATTATATGATCCCCTAATCGAGATATTCAATTATAAAAGTCAAAATCGAAACATACCTCTTAATATATTCCTATATTAATATAATAAATTTTATCTGCCGTCCATAAAGTTAATTTATTATAACTAAGTATGAATATTTCAGTAAGAAATAATGCAGGGCGAAACCTTTTAATAAAGACAATTTTACGTATAAAACTTAAAATTATTTCGTACCTTTGAGAGTGATAAGTATATTTTTTAAATATTCACGGTTTACCTAACATGATATTCAAAAAAAAAGAAAACCGTTAATGGCTTTGGATAAACTTGGCGGCATTTCATTAAAAGTGCAATTTTCCCCTGCGTAACCGTATAAGGTGTATTTGCGTAACACCGTTTCACACCCTTTACGCTCTACCTATTTTTGATTTTGAAGTTAAGCGAAATTTATTTGTCACTCATCGTGCGCCACACTTAATGCCAGCTGGACCATATTATGCCAGCCCTATATTCTAATTTTAATCATTATTCATACTAGTTTCCAAATAGGCTAGAAAGATTAACAATGCCGATGATAAAATGGAAACCATATGGATGCTATTATGATTTAAATAGCGTATAACTTTATAAAAAGGAAGATTAACGTGTGACGACTGTGACGTGATTATTCAGAATATTCGAGATTCGAATTTTTATTTATGGAAAATCAGTGAAAATGAATGCTATAACCTCTCTGTTATACAAAAAAAAAAGTTCATTCACATCTGATATATTTGTTATTATATTTGTTATATTTGTTATATTTGTTATAAACATATTATATTTTATAATAAAAAGAATTAAGAATATTCTTCAAAGTCGGGTGTTGAAATTTAAAGTGTTATAAAAACGCGTGGAGAGGAAAGTCCAGTACGTCATAGTTCTCCTGAGTCCTGACCAAGTGTTCTAAATTCCACAAATATGGCAAGGATCTTATGATAATAAACAAACCCCCTTAGGAATATACCTATAATCAAAATCTATAAATAAATAACTTTTTTTACAAATTTTCCGTCTTTGAAGTCATTATTCTTACCCCTTTGGTTTTTTGCAATTTCCTTCTTGTTGTGTAAACCACGATTATATTTAACCGTTTAAAGAAAAGAAAAATATCCTCTTGTTATATATATATTTCACTTATCATATATATATTTCACTTATCAATGACGACACAAAATTCACGAAAAAGTTCTACATATTTGCCCGGCGGAGAAGTTTTTCGACGATTTTCAACCAGTTCTCGTGGTGCAGGAGTAGTTGACGTCGTAGCCCATGCTGCTTTCAATGAAAAAAAATGGGTTTGGGTCGAGGATAAAGAAGCGGGATATATCGCCGGTTACATAACGAAGGAAATGGGCGAAAAAGTGGAAGTCCACTTTAATGATAATTCGGTAAATCCAATGATTTATTTCGCTCTAACAACTATTTTTCAATGAATTGTTATATTTATTATATTTTTTACTTAATTATAATTTAGTCCCGTGTTGTTAATGTGAACGAAACAGAAAAAATGAATCCACCTAAATTTGATAAGGTGGAAGACATGGCTGACTTAACACATTTAAATGAATCATCTGTAGTTCATAACCTTCGATTACGATATTTATCTGATATGATATATGTAAGTTATAATATAAATCAATCTATTATTTCGGATAGCGCTAACGCATCTATGTCCATAAATAGACATATTCAGGGCTTTTTTTGGTTGCCGTCAATCCATATCACCCGCTCCCAATATACACGGATGAGATAATACGATCCTATAAAAATAAACGACGGTACGAAATGCCGCCTCATATTTACGCAGTCGCTGACGCAGCTTATCATGACATGTTACAAGAGCGTGAAAATCAATCTATTCTTATAACGTGAGTACTTTTCTTTTATATATCTAGTGATCTTTGTCATCATTTAATATTATATATATATATAGTGGTGAATCTGGTGCAGGAAAAACTGAAAATACGAAAAAGGTTATTCAGTATCTGTCTCTTATACACATCTAGATGTGTATAAGAGACAGTATATATAGTGGTGAATCTGGTGCAGGAAAAACTGAAAATACGAAAAAGGTTATTCAGTATATAGCGACAATAGCCAGTGATAGCGCTAACACTAAGAAGTATGGACTACTCGAACAACAAATCCTACAAGCCAATCCGATATTGGAAGCTTTTGGAAATGCTCAAACAATTCGAAATAACAACTCCTCTCGTTTTGTAAGTTTTCATTTTGATAATATATGTATATTCCGTTTTAATTAGAATTGTTTATAATTCAATTTCTTGGTACAGGGTAAATTTATTCGTATTGAATTCAGTTCGGCTGGTCAAATTTCTGGTGCGAATATCGAACGATATTTATTGGAAAAGTCACGTGTAACTTATCAGACGCCTGAGGAACGAAATTTTCATATATTTTATCAGTTGTTGAAAGGAGCTTCACCCACAATTAAAGGTATGTCACTTAAATTACGATAATTAAAATGTAAATAATTTATTTACTCACATCTCTACGTAGATAAATTTCTATTGGATGGTTCATTGGATGATTATAGGTTCACAAAACATTCAAAAAAAAATATTGATGGTGTGGATGATACTGCTGAATTCGAAATACTCTTGGTTTGTATAATATTTATATTAAAATAATTTAATTATTGTTTTACTAATGCATTTAACTATTTATAGAACGCCATGAATGTTGTTGGTATTTCACAAGATGAACAAATTGACCTTTTTCGTATAATAGCATCTGTTCTTCATCTCGGAAATATTAATGTAACTTCCGGAAGAGACGATCAAGCTTATATTTCGGACACTTCTGCAGCTGAAAAAGTATGTCATGTATTGGGTATTCCAACAGAGGCTTTTATAAAAGGACTTATTAGGCCTCAAGTAAAGGCGGGTCGCGAGTGGGTTGCTCAAGCTAGAACTAAGGAACAAGTTTTGTATTCAATTGAGGCTTTGGCAAAGGCATTATATGAGAGAAGCTTTGGTGCATTGGTTGAAAGAATTAATAAAGCAATTGATACGCCATCAAATAAAGCTTATTTTATCGGAGTTCTAGACATTGCTGGTTTTGAAATATTCAAAGTTGGTTTTTAATATATATATGCATATGCATTTTTTTTTTTACTTTGAAAGTTTTACAAATTTATTTTTATTTAATTATTGCAGACAAATGGATTTGAACAATTATGTATCAACTATACCAACGAAAAATTACAGCAATTTTTCAATCAACATATGTTTGTATTGGAACAAGAACAATACAAACTCGAAAATATTGAATGGAATTTTATTGATTTCGGACTAGACCTACAACCAACAATTGATTTGATTGAAAAAGCTAAAGTATGTCAATATATATTGCACTTTTTTAAAATTTAAATCTTTCTTATATTAATTATGTTATGATTTCAGCCTGTTGGTATATTGGCTTGTTTAGACGAAGAATGTGTTATGCCAAAGGCTAGTGACAAGACATTTGTTGAGAAATTACATAGTATTTGGAAAAATAAATCGTCAAAGTATGGTGTACCTCGATTTCAACAAGGATTCATTCTCAACCATTATGCCGCAAAAGTGGAATATACAACTTCAGGATGGCTTAATAAGAATAAGGATCCTCTTAATGAGAATGTTACTAAACTTTTGGCGCATTCTTCACAGCCATATATAGCTTCACTCTTTACCGATTTCCTTGGTGATACTACAGATTATGGTACAAAGAATCGTGTTAAACGCGGAGTTTTCCGCACGGTTGGTCGTAGGCATAAAGAACAATTACATTCATTAATGCAGCAACTTTATTCAACTCATCCTCATTTTGTTCGTTGTATTGTGCCTAATGATGAAAAAATGGCTGGAAAAATCAACGTACCACTTGTGCTAGATCAATTAAGATGTAATGGTGTTCTAGAAGGTATTCGTATATGTCGTGCGGGATTTCCTAACCGATTAGGTTTTATTGAATTTAGGCAAAGATATGAAATCTTGGCTCCAAAGATTCTTCCAAATGGCTATGTTAATGGACGAGAAGCTGCACAGAAATTGTTGGAAGCCTTTCAACTTGAGAGTGACCAATATCGTATTGGTTTGAGTAAAATCTTCTTTCGTGCTGGCGTGGTATGTACTGTTCCTTAGAATCAAGTTAGCTGATCTATTTTAAATTCATTTTTAACCAATTATTTATACGGAACTAGTTGGCTGAATTGGAAGAAGTCCGAGATACAAAATTATCTTTTGTGTTTACGAGATTTCAAGCGCATTGTCGTGGAAAACTTTCGCGAAAAGATTATAGTAAACTTTCAGAAAAAACTTCCGCTGCTCTTGTTATTCAAAGGAATATACGAGCAATTAACAAACTCAAACAAAATCCTTGGTGGAAGCTTTACTACCAAATTAGGCCAATGTTACCAAGTAAAAAAGATGAGCAGATTAGACTATTGAAAGAACGTATAAAAGAATTGGAAGAAAAAGTACAGCACGAGATACAGGAAAAACAGAAGTTGGAGTCATCTAATGTAGAATTGGAAGTTGAGAAGATAACTCTTGAAGAACTTCTTCACAATGAAAGATCCTTGTCGCTTGAGAAGGACGAATTGATACAGAAAATTAGACTTACAGAGGAGCCTGAAAACATTGATGAATATAATTCTACTAAACCTGGTTCAAAGGATCAATTATTAGAGCTTGAACAAACCAATCAGTTATTACAAGAGAAGTTTGAAGAAATGAGGAGTAAATATGAAGATGAGGTTCAAGAGAGAAAAAAGGATAAGATTAAGTTAGATGAAATAAAATCAAAACTTGAGGCTGCAGAACTTTCTAGAATTAAATTTGAGACCATTGAAGGCTCAATAAAATATCAAGTTAGTAAACTTGAAACATCATTATCAGATGTTACTAATGAATTAAAGACTTCTCGAGAAAATGTTCAATCTCTTGAATTATATATCAAAGAATTGGAAGCGAAGACCGAAAGTGATGCTGCAGAAATTGCAGATTTTGGTTTACTTCAACAAAGAATACAAGAAGATTTTCAGGAAGAACGAGAAAAATATAGAAAAGAAATTGATGATGCACAATATACTCTTGAACAAACTAGGAAAAAGTACGAAGTTGAAATGAATAAACTTAATGAGGAAATTGAATTAGATAGAGTTAATATGTTAAACCTTCAAGAGGAGAATAAAAAATTATCTTTGAAACTTAAAGATTTGTTAACTAATAATAACGAAAGTTATCCGTTATTAATTGAGGGTGAAAGAGAAAAATTGATAGGTCAAATTACTGAATTAAGTCAATTATATAATGAAATATCAGTTTCTAATGATGAACTTCAAACGCAGGTTAATAATTTGTTAATTGAAATGAGCCAACTAAAAATGGCATTGGAAGAAACTGAAACACAAAAAATGTTATTGGAAAAATTGAAAAAGAATCTTGAAGATAGACTTGATGAAATCCATGAACAATACCATGATGCTAGTCAAAATAAACATGTAGCAGAGAAAAACTTATCAGCCTTAGATAGAGAAGTTTTTGATCTGAAACAATTAGTTGAAGAACATCAAGATGCTGCTAATGCTTTAAGTGAGAAACTGAGAAAAGTTGATGCTAGTTTGGCGGATTCCCAAAATGAATTGGCAAAAGAAAAAGAAGAGAACCAAGAGCTAATAAAGTCAAAGGTAGAAACATAATTTATTATATATATGTATTAAAATAATTAATTTACTGAAGCTATTACTTTATAATTTTTTTTTATTACAGATAATATTGGAAAAACAGATTACAGAACTAAATGCTAAAGTAGCTGAATTGGAAACTAAATTAAGTACTTCACCAAAAAATCTAAAAAGACTTGAAACAAGACTTGAAGAATTGACATTAGCAATTAATAATGAAACAAATGAAAAGAATGAATCTATAAGTAATTTACGTAAAGCTAATAGAACTATACGTGAATTACAATTTCAATTGGAAGAAAATGATAAGTCAAAACTAAGATTTGAACAGGAAATTTGCAAATATGAACAAAAGGTTGGAAAGTTGAGAGAAACTATTGAAGAAATGGTAAGCTTACTAATTAATTTTATTTTGAGGTTTTGAATATAAGATTGGTTTTGTATTAAATGGTTTTATTTAAAATATATCGTAATTAGCAAAGTTCTGAAAGTTCTTTGCAATTAAGTAAGAAACGCGCAGAACGTGAAGCTCATGAAGCAAAAGAAAGAATTGTTAGGTAATTAATGTAGTACGTGTTTGGTCAATTTATTTTTATTTTATTTTATTTTAGCGTATTTATTACCTATTTAATAACGCTTTTACATATTTATCGTTAATAGACTTGAAAAAGAACTTGAGAAAACAAAGTCTCGTCTTGGAAGAAGAAATTCTATGACATCAGTATATTCAGTATATTCATCTGCTTCTGCCTCATCGAATTCATCAAATTAATTTAATAATTTTAATAATTATATATGTATTTTAGAAAGTTAATGTATTTCTACAATGTAATCAATGTATTTTAATTCTTTTTTTTTACTTGTATATTATCTGTATTATTTTCGGACTGGTTGGACTTTAATAATAATCAGTTTTTACTATGTATATTATCTTAATACAATATTTTAATATTTAAGATTAAAAATTAATTATAGTATAATATATTATTATAATAAATATGTACTTACTGTAATCAGTGTATATTAAAAAAGCGACTGTAACATTAATTGCCTTTTTAATAAATAATCTAATGAGTAATAATTGATTATTTTTGTGATCTTTGCATATATAAATACTCCAGTTTCCCTTTCTTCTTTTTACTAAGCTTCTACCTTTTTCAAGTAGAAAAATTAAAAATGGCTATACCAAATCTTAAGCTATTTCCAATGCCCTTAAGGAATTATCTACTGAAGTTTCAAATCTCCCAAACCTTCCTGTATTAACTGTCATTAAAAGTCTAGAAAATACTATAAACAGATTTTTAAATAGAATGAACTTATTTTAAAAAATAATCTGCAATTAGGTGAAAATATGTCAAACAAAATCTCAAGTCAATTTGAACTTATTTTACAGCATTTCTTGCTCACTGTAGATTGCTTTATATGTTGTATATTATTTTTGCTCTTTCAATATAAAAAAAATGGTATAGCTATAAACTATAGTTTTTTATTTTATTTTAAAAATAATAATAAATATTGCTTTTATTTAGAGTTCCGAACAGGTTGACCAAATTCAGGTAACCTGACAGGTTGACCTGAATTTTTCAGGTCAGGTTTAGCAATTGCAATTCAGCATCAGAACATCAATATAACCTGAATGACCTGTTGACCTGAAACTATGATTTTATATAATAAAAGTGAATTGCGATATCAGAATTCACTTTTTTATATCGATTTTATATATAAAAAGTGAATTGCGGTATCAGAATTCACTTTTTTATATCGATTTTATATATAAAAAGTGAATTGCGGTAACGGAATTCACTTTTTTATATTGATTTTATATTTAAAAAGTTAGTTGGGGTATTGCGATTCACCTTTTTATACGATTTTAATATAAAAAACTGAATCGCAATATTTCAAAAAAAAATGTTTTGTACCATTTTTTTTGATATTTTTAATATAAATCCTGAAAATTTTCAGGTTTCAGTTCAGGTCAGGTCAAATAGATAACCTGATATGACCCTGACCTGACCTGACCTGACCCATTTGGAACTCTACTTTTATTTTTAGGAGTAAAGGATAATGGCTAGAATCATAAATTCAATAATTAGAAATCTCTGTACTACAATTAAATTCCTAGTAAATGGTAATGAATAATAGTTAATATTTAAAGGATTTTTCTAAAAATGTTTCAGAAATTCAGAAATATAAAGCATGTCAGAAGACTTAATAAAAAATGGTAATTTGAAAATCTGTAAAAAATGGCTAATGGCTATTTTAGAAATTATTTTTCTAAATAAAATTTTTTTAAAAAAAATATAACAATGCAACAATATGAATAATGTGAATAATATGAATAAAAATATAATTTTAATCATCTTTTCTTCAATTATATAATAATAAGCAATAATTTAAATTATTTGATTTTATATTGCAAATATATATTTTTTATTTATGGTATATTATTAAATAAATGCTTTTGATCAGTTATCATTTTTGTGATTGATTTTATATAGTATATATTATATCTTACTTTGTGAATTCTATAGATACCTTGTGTAAAAAGAGAGCTAAAATAAGCTATTTTCAAATAACTCTATCCTTTAAGTAAAAACTTCCATCCAACAATATATATGTAAAGTGCTTTTAAATATGATAAGTACAGTCCCCCCTCTCTACATATAGCGAACCTCTATATAACAAATAATACGATATAACAGATTTCCAGTATGGCACCGATTTTAAATATAAAAAAAATCTTGATATAACGAAGTTTACTATTTATTTACCATATAATGTAGTATGAAGTAAAGTGTATGAATTGCTTATATAAAAATACCTCTTGATATAACAGATTTTTTTTATAATGAATTTTTTTTTTAGTATAACGACAAATTTTGCAGTTTTTGATTGTATGTAATTAAATAATTCTATTAATAATTAGATTGATGCACAAAATATTGTATGACATTAAACATCATCCCCGTGTTTTATATTTAAATTATAGATCAGAATCATATCAGGATCATATTAGAATTGATAATTCTGGCTATTTTATTTAATATTTAGGCAGAATTATGTTAATTTACATTAATTCAGTTGTATTAGGATTCAATATAAGTTGTTATTAATTTATATTTATCACAGTGGTAATAGGACCCTAAAGAATACTTCTAGTTAAATTAACATATTAAAAAACAATAATTATTTATTTATTATATAGTCAGTTATTGTAAACAACATTAAATTATTTCCTACAAAAAAAAAATTATAATAAACATTTTTACATAAAAAAATTAAAAACCCACTTCCAACCCTTTAAAAATACTCATCGGTCTCCATTTTCAAGTCTCAAGCTAAAATCTACAAAAAAAAGTAAAACACTTCAGGAAGCATTCCCTGCAATAAAAAAATAAAAAAAGAAATATTAGTAAATAATGTTATACAAAATTAATAAAAAAAATGAGTTCCCCACTTACTTCTCATTTCAGACATCCATTTCAAAGTCCGGAAAGTTTACTACAATAAAAAAAATAAAAAAAGAACATTAGTAAATATTCTTAAATGAAATTAATAAAAAAAATGAGTTATCACCACTTACTTCTCGTTCTAGGTGCCTATTTCGAAGTCCAGAAAGTTCACTACAATAAAAAAAAATAAAAAAATGTTAGTAATTGAATTATCGGTAATCAGATCAACAAGTCACATGATTTATATGACCGATATACCTATACCAAATAATTTGTTATGGTGTTAACGAAGTTGCTTATAATGAAGCCCTGATCGGTTGGAACATAGGGTTCGTTATATTAAAAGGGGACTGTAGTTTAAAGATCAATTATATTAGATTTTAGTTTAGGGTTTTATTACTTTTTGTAATATACTTTAGCTTTTAATAATCTAATAAACCTTCAAATACATTGCAGTTAAAAAAAAAAATTATATCTTGCTTTGAATAAAAAAAAATAAAATTTAATAAACAATATCTAATCTATTTATATAATTAGTTTTCATTAAAAAATATAACTGTTAATATTTCTTTTTTTTTAAAAAAAAAAAATGCCAAATTTTTAGAAAATACCCTTTAAACTGTAAAAACTAAAATTAATTTTAAAAATTTTTGCATTTTTAAAATACCTTAAAATTTAGTAATTATAGAAAAATAAAATTAAGTTTATTAGATTCCTCTTATTAAGATGTATTTAATGATAATAAAATTATATCTTTAAAATTGATAAATAGAAAGTTATATTAATTTAAATTTTTAGATTTTATAAAATATCCTGCCATATAATATTTATAAAGACAATTTTTATTCTATTAGATTCTTTCATTAAGACACATCAAATAGTGATAATTTTATATTTCTAGAATTAATAAATAAAAAGATATTTCAATTTAAAAATTTAATTATTATTTATTATAATCTATTGATTTTTATTTTACTTAGAAAATATCATAGAATTTATTACAAAAATATTGGTTTATTTAATAAAATATTTTAAAATACTTAAAAGTATTTTAATTAAAAAATAAAATTATAGGCAAATTTTCTGCAAAACAGTTTAAAGGATAATATAAAGTAGAAGCTAAATAGTTTAGTTCATTTTTTTTATTTTACTTTTTCATTTTTGATATGTTTATAAATTTTGTATTCGCTAACTATTACTGTTAAATAAAAATAAAAAATAAAAATAAAGTAGAAGCTAAAATGTTAAAGAAATGCAAATAAAAAAACTTATGATTTTTTTTTTATTTTTGTTAATGTTAATTAAAAATAAACAAATTTTTATATTTATTTTTTGTATAATAAATGTATTATTTATAAAAAATTAATACTTTTATAATAATTAAAATCTTATTTAAATAAATACATAATATTAAACTATTATAAAATATTTTAATATTAAAAAATTTGTCTCTAAAAATATAAAGTAAAATTTAATATAATTATTTTAAAAGATTATTATTAAAATTATAAATAAAAAAGTTGGTAAAATTACCAATAAATTTAAAATTTTATTTAGAAACTTTTATTAAAAGTAAGTGGGATTCTCATATATTATGATTTTTTAATTAAAAATCAAAAATTACAAATTATAATTTTGGATTATAAACTGTAATTTTAAATTTGTAATTCTAATTAGTATTATATTTGGCCAGAATTTTAATATAATTATAATTCTGACTGGAATTTTAATTTCTGATAAATTTAATTTCTGATTTTAATAAAATTAATTAAATGATTATATGGAAATCTGACTGTATATATTAAATAATTATTTTATATATAAATTTACAAAAAAGAATTTTTTTAACTATTATCAGGGGTGATAATTACTAGTAACTGAAATTATAATGATCAACTAGCAAATCTGACCAACAGTGATGATCATTCCCAATGATTTAAATAAAAAATATTTTGAAAATTTTAATTTTTTATTTTTTTACTTTACAAAAAATTTTATTATTTATTATGGTTAATATCAATTAATTAAGGCTTCTAACAAATTGATTTGATCAAATTAGTAATATGGTAAAACCTAAATTAATCATTAAAAAAACTATTTTTTATAAATATCTCATAATCTAACAGTTTAATTTTAATAAACTTTTTTTTATTTTGATCAGCTTAATATGATTTACAAAACAAAAAAATAATCATTAATATCCAATTACTAGATCATAAGATAATATTTATTAGATTCAGATCAAATTACTAAAATTCTAATCTGATCTAAATTTTTAAAAGTACAGTCAACTCTCTTTATAGTCACACATTTGGAACAGTCCATATTTGGTGATTATAAAGAGATGTGACTATATAAAAAATTTCTTATATTAGTATATAATAATTCCGGCCAAAAATTAACATAATTTTGGCCAAAATTATACTTAAAACTTTATTGTATCGTAACTCAGCCAATATTAATCGTAGAGAGATGATCTTACCGCCATTCGATTCGTCTCGATGAGACGGTTCTAATGGTATAAAATACATCGATATTCAATCACTAGATTAATTTTCAAAGTTAAAAAAATATTAATAGTTTTTGTGTAATAACTTCGCCAATATTGATCCTAGAGAGACGATCTTACTACCATTCGATTCGTCTTGATGCGACAAATCTAATGGTATAAAATACATTGAAATCCAATCACTAGATCAATTTCTGAAATTAAAAAATATTAAATGGTTTTTAAGTAGTAACTCCGTCAATATTGATTACAGAGAGATGAGCTTACCACCATTCGATTCGTCTTGATGAGGGGATTCCAACGAGCTATTAATCGTCTTTTTATAATCACTAGGTACCGAGAAATTCAGCAAAATGTTAAATGGCGCAGTAAATGTAAATCAAGAAATATAATAATGCCGATGCTTAACATTTTGTTAAATAACTCACCAGCCAGTAATCATGAAAGGATAAAACTACCACCATTCGATTCGTCTCAGTGAGACGATTCTAACAAGCTATGGTACATCTTTGTACAATTATTAGATGCCAAGTTATTTAATATATTCTTTATATAACTGTGATTATAAAC